ACAATGGTACCTGAAGTTTGATAACTTCATGGAGAGATCTGGGTTTAAAAGATGCGAGATGGATCATTGTTGCTATTTGAAGAAATTCAGCAACTCCTATATCATCTTATTGCTATATGTTGATGATATGTTGATTGCAGGATCTGATATGAAAGAAATAAGCAAATTGAAAAAAGAAATGTCTCAAGAATTTTAGATGAAAGACTTGGGTCCAGCCAAACAGATACTGGGGATGAGCATCATCAGAAACAAGGATGGTTCTCTAACACTGTCCCAGGAGAAATACATAGGGAAGGTGTTAGAGAGATTCAAGATGAATGACGGGAAGACCAAGCCTAGAAGTACCCCACTGGGAAGTCATTTGAAGCTGACCAAAGAACAATCACCTAAATCCAAAGAAGAAAGATCTGAAATGGCTAAAGTTCCTTATGCATCAGCTGTTGGGAGCCTCATGTATGCCATGGTTTGCACTCGACCAGATATTGCTCACGTCGTTGGCGTTGTTAGTCGATTTATGTCAGATCCGGGTAGAGAACATTGTGAAGCGGTCAAATGGATACTTAGATATTTGAAGGGAACCCAGAAAATGGGTTTATGTTTCAGAGGGAAGGATGCTATTCTCAAAGGTTTTAAAGATGCTGATTTGGGTGGTTGTAGAGAGACATTTAAGAGCACTACAGGGTATGTCTTTACAGTGGGAGAAACAGCAGTGAGCTGGATGTCTAGACTTCAGAAAAGTGTGGCGTTATCTACGACAGAGGCTGAGTATATGGCTGTTGCAGAGCCCAGTAAAGAACTAGTTTTGTTGAAGACTTTTCTTAAAGAGTTGGGCAAACAGCAGTCTGATTACTTATTGTACTGTGACAATGAGAGTGCAGTGAAACTTGCTAAAAATCCTGTTTATCATGGCAAGACGAAGCACATCGGGATGAGGTATCACTTCGTGAGGGGATTGATCAGTAATAGAACAATCAAGTTGAAGATCTCAGGTGCTAAGAATCCAACAGATATGTTCACCAAGACAGTGGTGCTGGATAAGCTGAAGCTTTGCATAGCTTCAGCTGGTCTCCTGGAATAATGTTGAGGAGAGGGGCAACTAGGGAGATGTGAAGATCAAGGAGGATCTTTCATTTACAGAAGTACAGAGAGAAGTCGCAGTTTGGTCCAAAGACTCCAAGTGGGAGATTGTTGGTGATGTGTAGTCATCGGCCCAAAGTGGCCCACTTGTAGACAACTGAGAGTTAGGAGACCAGATTAGGGTTTCGGCCGGCCCAAATGGTTTTAAGCCCAGTTTGCTATAACTTGTCTAGCAAGGGTTAAACCCTAATTAGTTGTCTATATATATGATCTCCTGTACTTGTAATCATTATCACTCAATAATACAAACCCTAGTTGCCCCTGTGGATGTAGGTCAGATTAGACCGAACCACGTTAAATCTCGTGTTCTTTATTGCTTTCTTGCTTTCTATTCGTGTGTGTGTGCTTTTGTTCTCAACACCATCTAAGACTACAAGATTATGAATCAGTCTCTGAGTACAATTCTTTTCAGCATCACCTCCGTCATGAAGTTATGCGGGGAACCAATCACTGATAAAGAGATGCTTGAAAAGACTTTTTCTACGTTCCATACATCTAATATTAATTTGTCAGAGCAATACAGAGAACGTAAATTCACTAAGTACTGTGATTTGATATCATGTTTATTGGTAGCAGAACAAAACAAAGAGCTACTCGTGCGCAATAATCAAGCACGACCAGTTGGTGCGAGCCCATTCCCTGAAGTGAATGTGGCAACTACTCCGAGTGGACGAGGGAGAGGTAGAGGCCGCGGCCCCAGCAGAGGTCGTGGTCGTGGGCGAAGCAATACATGGCATCGAGATTCTTATAATCCTAAGCATGGAAGGGGTAAAGCTAAAGGATGGGGGACGACCCCCGAAGGGTAAAGCTAAAGGAGGCCAAGAAAGTACCTGTTTCAAGTGTGGCATGACCAACCACTGGTCTCGAACATGTCGCACCCCTAAACTTCTCGTGGAGGCATATCAACGAATGGTGAAAGAGAATGAAAAGGGAAAACACATTGAGACAAATCTCGTTGACACCACCACTACCTCATCAATTTCTACTATGCTCACAAATACTCATCTAGATGCATCTGATTTCATTGAGGACCGTTAAACCATACTGCGTAGTTTTTTTTCCCAATCTTTACGACTATGTTCTAGACAATGTGTTGCATTCATTTGGATCTTTTGTTTTGAACTTGTTTGATGTTTTTCTTATGCTCTCTATTATGCCTATTATTCTTATTCAAAATTTTATGAGGTGATTTATTACATGAATGAATAATAATCATTATTTTATTTCTTGAAGAAATATGAACACAAGCTCTAGCAGAGCTCTTATTGGTGATGAATGTTTGGTAGATAGTGGTAGCACCAACACAAGCCTAAAACATAAGGAATATTTCTCTGAATTATTTCCAATCAAAAATACTTGTTGGTACTATCTCGAGTGTTAATGACCTAATTGAAGGCTCCGGAAGAGCATGCATCATATTACCATCGGGTACAAAATTAATTATAAATGGTGCATTATACTCAAGTAAATCCAGAAGAAATTTACTTAGTTTCAAAGATATAAGACAAAATGGTTACCACCTTAAAACCACATCCGAAAACAGTAGAGAATACCTACAGATTATTTCCAATGAGGACACTTTAGAAAAGCTAGAAGCTTTATCCTCTGGTTTATATTGCACTACTATTAATCCTATTGAGTCATATATGGTAAGTAACCAGAAGTTACTAGATAGAGACACTTTTACCATATGGCATGACCGACTAGGTCACCCTGGCAGTACCATGATGAGACGCATAATAAAAAATGCGAATGGGCATCCACTTAAAAATCTGAAAATCTTACTGCCGCAAGATTTATCATGTGCAGCATGCTCTCTGGGAAAATTTATAACACGGCCCTCCCAAATAAAATTGATACATGAAAATCCTTCATTTTTAGAATGAATCCAAGGGGACATCTGTGGGCCATACAGCCTCCATGTGGACCTTTCCGCTATTTCTTAGTGTTGATTGATGCTTCCTCACGATGGTCACATGCGAGTCTTCTAGCTACTAGAAATGTAGCGTTTGCGCGACTCTTAGCCCAAATCATACAATTAAGAGCGCATTTCCTAGAAAATCAAATTAAAAATATTCGCATGGATAATGCAGGAGAATTTACATCCCAAGCTTTTGATGATTATTGTATGTCAATTGGGATAAATGTTGAACATCTAGTAGCTCATGTTCATACACAATATGGTCTAGTTGAATCATTAATTAAAAGATTACAGTTAATTGCTAGACCGCTTCTGATGAGAAGTAAATTGCCATCTTCGACATGGGGGCATGCTACTAAGACCAACTGCTGATCAAGAATACTCCCCACTTCAACTAGTCTCTAGAAGAGAACCAAATTTGTCCTATTTAAAAATATTTGGTTGCGCAGTTTACGTCCCAATACCGCCACTGCAGCGTACCAAAATGGGACCCCAGAGAAGATTGGGCATTGGACATGGAGAAGGGAAGCGTACCACTGAAGGAACTTGCGGAAGTGAGGTCCCCTTTGGACATGGAGAAGGGAAGCAAATTAGCACTATTACTGGCAGAGAAGAAATTGGCTGAAACAGAGGACAAATTGGCTGCTACTCTCAATGAAGTTGCAGAGAATAAACAGGGCCTCGAGAAGATTGCGTCTGAGAAGCAAAAATTGAGATGAAGTTGAGTTGCTTGGAGGATGAAAACAAAGTGATTATTGATGTCAAAACAAAGTGATTATTTTGACAACATAATCTAAAAGTATTCGCAAAAATGTTGAAAATCAAGTCACCCAAAACAGTTCAAATTGCTTTTATTCAGAGCAAAAGCTGAAAATTTTATTCAAAATCAGTCCCAAACACTCCCTTATGATTAGGCAGAAGAGGCCAGAGGTAAAAAGGGTAGTTAATTGAGATACCTGGGGCGCTGCTTTTTGCCGTTCGTCGCTGGGTCAGGTCAAGCCATTGCCGGAATCGGGCACGGAGTGTGGTGGCCAGAACGTCGGAAACTAGAGGATGGTTTCGCTGCTGCCGTCGTCGTATCTGTTTTGCAAGTCGCCCGACAGAGGGAGGCGGGGCTGCTCTCGTCGTCGGAGGTCAACGTTTGATGCTTCTAAACTGGGTCTCCCGCTGCTCTGGTCGGAATTCGGCGACGGAGTTGCGCCGGAGATGATCGTGGGCTGGCGATTGAGTTGGAAGGCGGCATTAGATATGATTAGGGCCTTTAGGGTAGACTAACTTCCCGGATATTATGAATTGGCCTCATGGATTTTAAACATATTTGCACTTAAGAATCTAAGGGTTATCGCATCCACTACAGGGGATTAGTACATATGTATGATCTTTTGAGTTGTAAAAATTTCATATGTATTATCTTATAAACATCTCGTGGAGGCATATCACTTGAGTTGTATTTCCAACCACTGCAAATGTATGATCTTTTGGCCTTCAGAATCACATTGACCACTTCGGGGGTCGAGTATCGATAGTGATGATGCATTCCATATTACTTCTTGTGTTACCAGTCTTTCTTCATTCTTGTCTCCCCCTAAGACTGGAATACTGTCTCATTAAATTGACAGTCAGCATACCGTGCTGTAAACATATCTCCTGTCAACGGTTCTAAATATTTAATGATAGACGCAGAGTTAAAACCAATATAAATGCCCAATCTTCTTTGGGGTCCCATTTTGGTACGCTGTGGTGGCGGTATTGGGACGTAAACTGTGCAACCAAATATTTTTAAGTGGACAAATTTGGTTCTCTTCCGGAGACCAGTTGAAGTGGGGAGTATTCTTGATCAGCAGTTGGTCTTAGTGAGTATTCTTAATCAGCAATTATTCTTGATTAGGCAGGTGTTTTAATCTATTCTTCTATGGCATATGACTAGAGCTAAGTGGTTTTGTTTTTTCTTCTGTTTAGTTTCAGACACTTGTTTAGCACATCACTCAGTGAGAGGTTGTTTCAATCCTTGAGATCAATGATGAAGCTTGTGTCTCATGAGTTGTGTGCTCACAGAGGCAACACAACCAGGCCTTTTTTGTTTGCACAAATGAGCGCTTTCTTTCACAGTGGCCAGGTCGAGTATTTTTCCATTTGGTTTTTGCATTCACATATCTGTAAGATAGGGTTTCATGTTATGTGTTAAATTTTTTTGACCTCTAATGTTAAAGGATATCAAGATTCATGTGGAGCTATTAACTTAGTATTGACCATTGGAAAACTGGAAATGGTACTATCCATAAGTCTATATGCAAAAATGGTTAAAACAGAGAGGCCCTTTCGTTTAGACACTAGATGCATTGTTGCATTTACTGCCCAAGACTTCATAGAAAGTAAGGACCAAGCAAAGTTTAATTTGCCATTATTATTTAGTTTATCATGTGCCTGGAGCTAAAATATTGTCAATGATGGCTTTTAGTTCTCTTGGCAATGGTCTAATTAATGGTATGTTAAATATAGAAATTGGACAATCTGTGTGAGATGGCTTATGTACTTTCGACCCTAGCTTTAAAACCTTGTAGCTAATTGCATTCAGTGTGTGTGCCTGTTTATTGTGTGAGATTAGTTTAAGATTTTAAGATCTTTGATGTTGCATAAAAAAGAAAGCTTACCTTGGAAACAGCCTCTCTACTTCCATTTTTCCAAGCAGGGGTAAGTTCTACGTACTCACCCTCTAGGCCCTACTTTTTTGTGAGATTCTCCTGGGTTTGTTGTAAAAAAAAGCTCACATAGATATCATTTGACAGACTCGTTACTCGCCCAGAAGCTTTTTTGGAGTGGAGGATTTTGCAGATGATGACAATAGCCGACCGTACACGTACCAAAAGGGAAAAAAGTCAAAGAACCCACACAAGCATGTTTCCTTCAAGCAAAGAACTGGGCCTTTCATAGAGCCCTTCACGCTTGACGTCTTCATTTCAGCGCGATATGTTTCAGCGTCAATCACACACAGAGTGACTTGCAAGCAGGTTGCAGTCGCGGGCACAAACTCAAAGGACATAAAGGCCATGCTGAAATCAAGGTGTGACATACCCGCATGCTTGGCTGTTGGTCGGATTTTGGCGGACAGAGCGAGAGAGGCTGATGTGTACACCACTGCTTACACTCCTAGGGATAGCGACAAGTTCGAAGGTAAAGTAAGAGCTGTGGTTCAGTCCCTCATTGACAGTGGCATTGATGTCAAAGTTTATCTCGACTGAGAGAGATTTGAGGTGCGTTTGCCTCTCATTCACTAGATTTTCTCGACTTTCAGAAGAAAACCTTCTTTTGTTTAAGTGCACACTGATCTGTTATTAACTTGTTACTCCTTATATCATTGCCTTTTGCTTTCCCTAGACATTTTTACTTCAATTTTTTTCCCAAGTGTGAATAGCTGTCCTAGTTATTGTTTGGTAAATCTACTCATAATACCCCCACTTTTCAGAATCTTGTTAATATTCATAGTTCATGAGGTAAAATATTGAAACAGGTTGTATGATTCTCATTGCTCATAACTTTCACCCTATTTTTTCTAAAAAGATCAAACAAATTCTTTTTGAAATAAATTCTATAAGTAGGGGGTTTCCATATTTAGTCCATAATTACCGGATATTATTGTTTTAGTCCTTTTTAATTGGGGTCCTTTCCTTGTTCCATCCTCCGTCAAAGATCTGTCTTTCTCTGGTTAATTTAGGGGTTCAGTTTGAATTTCACCAGGCAATACAGGGCAGTATGTTGAAGTACTGTTCACAGCTGATTCTAACCCTGACCCTGATCTTGTTGAGTTTTTGGTGCGTTGTTTGGTGTTCTTGGAACAATTTTAGTAAAGGATTCCAATCCCTAGTACAATTTTCCTGATTTCGGGTTGGTTTTGGCAGCATTACTGTTCACGCTGCGATTGGCTTCTTTAATTTTTTCTAAATCTTGCTTGTATCTTTTCCATTTGGTTCCTGATTTTTGGGTTTTTTTGTAAAGATATCTCATTGCTTTTGTTGGATTTCTAATTCAATCAATTTTGGGTGAATTTCTTCAGTTCTTGATAACTGTTCATGTTCTTCAAGCTGTGTTGATGTCTGCTATTTTTTGAGTAGTTGTTTAGATGTTTGTGGACTGTTTGAGGTTGTGAAAACTGAAACCTTAGTTCTTCCAACAAATTGAATGCGAATGGTGGCTATACGGGGTAATTGAATATCTAAAATGTGGCTGAGGAGTGAGGACAAAAGATAGAAACAAATTCTTTTTATGTAGGTGGAAGGAAAATAAATGAAATTACAATAATAGCCTTTAACTTAACGCAACTAACACAAATCTTTGACGGAGGATGAAACAAGGAAAGGACCCCAATTAAAAAGGACTACAACAATAGTATCTGATAATTATGAACTAAATATGGACAACCCCTATTTATAAAGGATGATTTATAGAATTTACTCTTCTTTTTGTGGTGTGTATTCCTTATTAGTGTTATAATTCACATCATAGCCGTGTTGAACTTTCAATTGCATATAGATCTATGGTTCAAATATGGATTTGTATTAATACTTGAAATATTTGAATTCAAATCAACATATTCAAACACAAATTATGAATTGAGTCAAAATTATTCGTTTCATTTACAATTCTATGGATAACTACACCTAAAATATTGCAATAGTTTGCATGTGACATAGCATTTGTGCGATTTTTTAGTTGTCCCCATTTGAAGGCTTATATTTTTTTTCATGCGTCTTTTTTTATTTCGGAAATATCCTATCATTACTTTTTTGAAATTAAAAATATTAAAATTATTCTCACGGTGTTTATTTATTTACATCTCAACCACCTTATTTAGTATAATCATTTTCATTAAAGATATTTTAGATTTGATCTGGTCTGATTTGATTGAATTGGATCTCATTAATTCTAATTAGATCTGATCTTATTTTATTAAGAATAAATAATAAGCTGAAAGAATAAGTTGTATTGAAGGGAGACTTAAACCCTAAATCCCATATACCGGTTAACTTAAAAATAGTAAAAAATTAATGGGTGAAATGCAACTGCCATTCTCAAGTAATATTCTCTTCATCTAAAAAAGATTGCAATGATTTGAATTTTTTGATCAAATTATGCAACACTTTGACCACAAATTATGAAAAATATATATCCATTTGTTCCTTCCGTCCTAAAACGTTCTTCCCAATTCCTATTTATACGGTCAAACTTTAATCACTTTTTTTATCTATTTTTGTTAGTTATTTGATAAAAAATTATTATCTTGTTATTCTTGTTTTGTAGAACTTTTGAGGTAGTTTTTAAATATAGAAATTTATTTTTTAATTTTACACTTATAATCAAATAATTGAATTGAAAATTAAGTCGATGTGGGGAACATATAATTTTGAAATATAAAATCTTTATAATAATCAATTATTTTAAAATATCAAATTTTTATAATATTTAATTATTTTAAACTATATTTAATTAATGATCAAAGATTGAAAATGTTTGACCTAAAAAATCATACTATAATAATCTTTTTGAGACAAAGAAAATAACTTTTAAGCTTGTGGTCATTTTGTTGTTACATTTGGCGTCATTCTATTCCTTTAAGCCCAATTTTTGGCAGTTACTTTTGGATACTCCCTCCGAAATGTTTAGCACAATTTAAAAAATGAGATAAAGTATCAAGTTTTTTCATTAATTTTATTTAATTATTGGTATAGAAATAAAAAATAAAATTTACATATTTAAAAACTATATGAAATTTTTTAAAAGATATATCAAAATTATTTTATTTTTTAAATAATCAATAGAAACGTACAAGCAAATAAAGTTTTTGTGATTATTGAAAAAACAAGTGTTTGAAACATTTTGGGATTGTGGAAGTATAACCAAACCCAATTGCAAGTCGTATTTTCATAACTTACCCAAAAGATAAAGAAAAGAATAAAAAAGGTTTTCTAGTGGGATTGTGGACGTATTTTCATAACTTACCCAAAAGAAAAGAAAAACAAGTGTTTGAAACATTTTGGGATTGTGGAAGTATAACCAAACCCAATTGCAAGTCGTATTTTCATAACTTACGTCAAAAGTTCTACAAAACAAAAGGTGACAGGAATATTTTATTTTATCAAATACCTAATGGAATTACGTAAACAAACAAAAGTTATCGAGAAGAGAGATAAAAAAATTGTAATCTATTTAGGAACGCAGAGAGTATTTTTTCTTTGTTACTCCGTATGATAAGATAAAAAAATAAAATAGGAGGCACTTTAATAATTAAAATTCTCAAAAAAATATGAAAGTTACAAAAAATAATGACTTGCCACTGTAAGGTGTGCCAGTCCACTCACTTGCCACTCTGTGACTGGACTGTTTTTTATTGGTTGGAAAATGACATGTCAGCGTGTGGCATATCATTTTTTACTTGCCATTGCTTGTGCTCTTATTTAAACCCCAAACCTATATATCTACCGTTTCCTTAATTCCTGAATCTAATCACAGCTGATTGGAGTGATTTCTAACCCACTTCTTCTTCTTCTTCTTCTTCTTCTGGAGAGGTAATTTATGCTTTTCTGATCTTTCATATTTTCCTACAGCCATGTTCTCTATCTCTGTTGAGGTAATTTGTGCTGAAATTGAATTGTAGCATTTAGTTCTAACTTGTGGCGAAAACAGTTTGCTATTGTTCACGCCAGTTCTGTGTTCTTCAATTTCCCTTGGCTTAATTAATGCTCTCTTAAATCTGATTGAGGTCAAGGAAGGAATCATCACCATGGGTCGGGCTCCGTATCTCCTTTATTCATAGTTCTAGAGAGACAGGCACAGATAAAATACTGTGATTAACATGCGTTAATAAGTGAATTGACTAAATTAATTCATGTTCTCCTAATAAATCTCACTCTTTATTAGGAGGAGCTAGGAGTAGTCCTTACTGTTAATTGTCTCTAATCTCACTCTTCCATCTCCACTGCATGCGGCTTTACTTTAATTACCTTCTCTAATTCAAGGAGGAGGAGGAGCTAGGAGTAGTCATTCCTTATTTCTTTGCCAAGTGTGATTAGACATGACAAAAATCAAGAAATAAATAAATAAATAAATAAATAAATAATAATACTGTTAATTGTCTCTAATCTTTAATTTACATCATAATCTTTTGTTGGTTACTAACTAATGATGAGGCCATCTAGGGGAGATTAATTGCAACAACCTAAAGATAGACATAAGATATATAGACTAATTTATTAGTAATAAGTTCCTGCGGCAGAGATTTATAAGCCCCCCTTCCAATTCAGGTATGAATTGAGTTGAATCCAGTAATACATTATAACCAGTATTCAACCCCGTGCGAATGGTAGGGTGCTCTTGTGTCGCAATTGGGTTTAGTATGCAACAGACTGCTCGATTATTGATCTTTAACTAACTCATCTAATTGTTGCACAATAAATCACCCTACAAAAAATACAAAATGCAAGCGTTTGAATAAGGACCAGTTAACACCAGGTTCAGGGACACAATGACATAGAAGCAAGGAAACAAAATTAATCTCCAGAAGTGTAGGAAAGATGACAGACACAAATCTCCCGAAGTGTAAAAGGCGAGCAATATGAAATCTATTTATAGCTATGGGCATGAAAGTCAGCACCCCGAAAACATCGTAATCAATGAACAAAAACTTACAATTAGAAAACATTTTACCTATATATTATTTTGCACAAAAGACACCCTAATGACCCTATCACATTATCTATCCCACATTTGTATCATTACTCTAGCATTAAAGAGCTTGTCGGAACTTGAAACCATTCTAATGGGTATTACGTGGAAAGCTGCAGATAATAATATAAGTTTTTTAACCATTTTACCATTGATGCAATTCAGGAAAACCTTTAACCAATTGAGAAAGTTAGAACGATTACTTTTTTGTACTATGTATATAACTCAATCTAGAAAATTATTCAAGGTCGATGAGAAAGAGCAAGGGTGCAGTGGGTCCCTTACCTCAGTCCTCTCCCCCTTTCAAGTAATCACGGTCCTCCCCATTTATATTTAATCAATATTTAATATTCATTATGCATTATCAAAACCCAGGGATGAAAGATCCTAGAGTAACATAAAGCTTTTAAGATCTCATCTAACGAATAAATGGAATCATTTTCTATTTGGTAAATCACCCGTCATTATGCATAATAGTGGAAACTTAAGGCCCTAGGAATATTACCTGCCAAAGATGAGAAGAGAACAACACAAAATGCCACCTTAGGACCAACACCATATTGAGTTCAAAGACCACCAACAATGTCATGAGCACCTCTCCCTCAAAGTGAAGAAATATCTCTCGGTTTTTTTTTTTTTTTTGCAATTCCCTAAGAGTGCCTATTATAAAATTTGCTCTTGTCATATTTCATATGTATGTTAAAAAAGATATGAAAAACAACCAGTATAAGGTAATGCAACTAAAAGATATGTTTTTCTTTAAGTGAAGTGAGATGAGTAGGTTAACCAACTACTCACTCCATCTTGGATTACGGTTTAACACTTATGTGGTACAGTTTGTAAGAAGGGCAAAATTATGAGGTAGAGGTGTATGTAGAAGCGAGCAAAACAATCTAATATTATGAAGCAATGATTTGCAGAACTTTCAAACAACTTCAAGTGTAGAGAGCTGATATGCCTATGCAATATGTTCAACCAACAATAGGAAAAAATATCAGTACTTGACTTCAAATGCACCTTTTATTGAGTTTCTTAAATTTGTAATGTTGGAGTTTCCTTCCAAAATGTAAATTTCAATTGAGGCCATTTGAAGGTAATGTAGCTGTTTGTTTTAAAAACCTAATTGGCCTTGGTTTAGGTGTAGTCAGTTGTACTCTCCAATAGACCAAATCCTTAAGCAACCCATCCACAGAGGTGGGTGTGGATCTGTCATGATCAGAATCAGCAAGAGCCGTACATGAAAAAATAGAAATATTAGCAAAGCACAGGGAGCCACATGTACCCTTAGGATGATGTGATTTGTAGTTAAATTTCAGGTTCTAACTCTCTAGATTTAGGTCTTAATCTATAATGTAACTGCCAAAATGACCAAATAATGATCAAAGAAGATAGTGTTACAGTTTGAAGTTTAGTGCGTTTGAAGATAGTGTTATACTTTTTTTTTCAAAAAGTGTGACTGTTACGTGCTTTAAGGCCTTGGAGGTTATACTCCGAAGTGAGATTCATTCTTTTGGAACCATAAGATTACATCTTTTTGGTAATGGCTTATTAGTAATGTGATCCAATCTTGTATAGAGATTGATTATGTACACATAATATATAGCCAATATTAGAAGACATCCTGAAATGAAAAATGAAAACTAATGTGGTCAGAGCCATCATTATGCAGGTCTGAAGAAGACATGCAATGTAAAGAAGGAATCATGAGTTTGCAGTGCTCTAATTCAAATTTAGATAATGCCAAAAGAAAATGATTCCACTCTAGGGTTGTCATTTCACAACTGGTTGTATAGTTACTTGAAAAGAGATAAATTGATTTATAATTTGAAGATAAATAAGGAATGAAGTATGTAAGGTCGCCATACGACATCCTACAAAATTGAGTCCAGGTTCCTTGGAAAGAGTAGAGCATCTGGGGCCCGAGGGTGGTTCTTTCAGTTGTTATTCACTTTTTCAATACCCCTATGTCGCATAGCACTGGTTCCTTCCCTAAATGTGGATTTTGGTACACCACACCTGATATGAATCACTCTAACAAACAATAGCTATAGCATACCTGGAAGGTGAATGATGATTATCAACAAATTAACTCCTCAAACAGTCTTCGATGCAGGATGCTAAATTAAAGATCCACCAAATAGCTTTAGGTATAACATACACGGATACACCTAATGATACTCAGATACTGTTCATACTGCATTTTAAAATATAGTAATTAGTACCCATTGATGATATGTACTTTAAGGTCATTCACTAACAACTCTATCTCAAACCCTATATTATACAAAGCATGGGAAAAATATTAGTGTGTAAAACAGTAGAAAACCCAAACATTAGATACTGAAAGTTATATGCGGTTGCATTGAGATAATAAAATACAAAGTAAAAATATAGGTAATAGGCGTCCATCTAGAAATGTATGGATATTCCAACAACATTTGGATATGAATTTTAAGTATCATAATTATTCAATTGGCAAATGTTGCTTATTTTAAGTTAAGCTCTTCATGATTTTTTTTCTTTATAAATTTTAACTGTTGGAAATGTTTTTTCATTTAATGAATCCACCTGATAAAATTAATAAAAGTCCCAACACTCAAATCCTTAATAAAATTTGAAAAAGTTGGTGTTTTGAACTTTTCAACCCCATCCTCATAAAAGTACCAGTTCCTGTCTTGCTGCAAATCTATTATATTCATCCATTTTATGCATTACTAAGAGGGTTTAAGTCGGTTTATCTTTACCTTGAACCACAGTTGATATTTGAGCTTCAAGCCTCTCAAGATCCTAGCAAAAAACACAGCCATCACAAAATAACTTTGCGCCCAACCATTATATGGAGATAGCACATTCCAACCTAGCCTTCGCCATCAAATCTTCTCCATCTGAGGCCTTCCAAATATTTCTGTCTTAAACCAGCTATTGATTCTTATAATAACAAATGTGCTTGTTAGTCCTAATTCATAGAGGATAACAACGCGGAAAGTAATAAAGTCTAATAAAAGATCATTAAAAGCACCAAAGTTTACACCTTTTGAACAATTTCAATTATCAAGATAAAGCTAAAAGCTGAATACTCAAAACTGCCCCTTGCTAAACTCTCCATCCAAGCACATCTTAAAAGATTTGATTTTAACCTTCAATTAGTCCATAGAACCACTCACTCATTCAGTTCCCCTAAAAATGAGCTGTACGTGACTATAAATTAATGTAAAAGCAGTCCATTTCAAATTTCAGCACCTAAATTGCAAGTCCATTTCAAATTTCAGCACCTAAATTGCAGACTCCATGGAACAGTAACACATTACAAAAAATAAATCTAAAATCTAGCTTAAATTTGCATTGAAGATGACCTGAATACTAATAAATAATATAGGTGACGGAAGGGGAAATGTGTTCGATTACATGGAGTTTTCTAAAATTTCCTTCAAAGAGCACGTGAACATCAATGTTTTTGCTCCATAAGCTTCAAGTCTTCAATGACCTCAACAACCATTGCTCGTACAATGGAGGTGTTTCCCCCCGTCCCCAGCTCAGCCAAAAATCCATCAACGCCTACAAAGACAAAGGATGCAATAGATCTGACCAGAATAATGAGAAAGAAACGGTTGCAACATTTCGGCTTACCCCAACGCCACATAACCTACCTCATGGCAGATAATGAATTACAACAATTGCAAGCATATATGGAGTCTCATAGTAAATCATGAGAAGGAAGAAAAAGGTTACTTATAGTTTCAAGCTTGAGGATTCTAGAAAAAGAGGAAAATTTGAAAGTGAGTGAGTTGTGGTAAGAAAATATGAGATTCATATAAGCATCTTCTCATTATAAATTTTCTTATTCGATGATAAGATGAATACATAAAAAGTCAATAGAAAGAAAATGATAATGAAGATGGATTGATGAGGCCTTAGAATTGAACTTTTATACCCTGAGCATTGAGTAAACTCATTAGAAATGAAATATTAAAGGCACTACTCCAGCATAAACAACACATAGAAATTTGAACACTTACCGCCACATTGAAGGAAGAAAAGTCGTAGTTGTACACTTGTACTTGTCACAGCTAGTGGTCTTGCTAGGCCAGCCCCCTCAATGGCCTCTATGAGCCTCAACCTTTTTCTTCATTTGTGAGAGAGGCGGAAGTGAAACAAAACTGGAGTCCAAGAACATCAGAACCATTGCCACTCTCAGTCGACCCATAGGGCAAAATCAACCTTCTATGGTGTTCAGAAAGAGGGAAATCTGTGATGACATTTAAGAGATGGGAGCATAGATACATGAATGAAAGAGAAATTAATCGTTCATCAGCTGGAGGATCCGTTCAAAAACCACCGATGCTCATAACCCTCGTGGCATTGTAAGACGCCACATCATACACCATGTCACCTACCAAGGATTTATGAATTTATGTGAACAACAACAAAAAAACAATATTTACGAAAAAGGAATCTGTCATTAAAAAATCTTAACAACTACCGTCAATGTATTCTCTAATTCTAATATCACTAAGAGACGATGAAAATATCACAAAAATAAAAGTAAATAGGTTACACTTAAGTCATTCTCTGAGCAGCTTCCTTTTAGAGAAGTGTTTCCTTTATCTTTGTACTGCATAATTTTTAATTTTTTTAAATTGTACTAAAAAAAATTGAATATATTTCTGAAAACAAAATGAAGATCTTTTCAATTACTAACCGATAGATCATCTTGGTAGTTTCATTTTTATACTCTTAGCAAATTAATCCTTTCAAAAAGGTTCATGTGAAGATTGAGAAACTCAGTTAGTTTTAAAATTTCTAAATACATTGAATTTATTAAAAATTTAATGAAATATAATAATGGGTCATGGGAAGATTAAATAAACTACTGAATCTCAAACACATGATTTAGATGTATTTTTATGATTCAAAATTTGATAAGTTTGTGTTTGAGGTGCAAAATAAGAAGGAATTGAAGAGGAATGTGGATGAGTTGATAAAGTGAAGAAAAATGATGGTTGTGCCATTGTGGTTAGTTTTGTAAAAGGAATCTGTCATTGACAAATCTTAACTACCGTCAATGTATTCTCTAATTCTAATATCACTAAGAGATGATGAAAACATCATAAAAAATAAAAGTAAATAGGTGACACTTAGGTCATTCTCTGAGCAGCTTCCTTTTGAATGATGTATTTTTATGATTTAAAATTTGATAAGTTTGTGTTTGAGGTGCAGAATAAGGAGGAATTGAAGAGGAATGTGGATGAGTTGATAAAGTGAAGAAAAATGATGGTTGCAGTTTACCTTGAAAAATGATTGGCTTGGGATCCTAAGCCCATGATTCCACCACCTCACTTCTTATTGTTCTCTTCAAATTTATCATTGCAGTTTACCTTGAAAAAAAAAGATTAGATCAAATCCTCCATATAAAAAAAACTGTGAAAAGTCATACATTTCAATAATTGTTAACTGATCTCACCTTCATTACCCCCAAAATTTTAGAGACTTTCATCTTATCCTCGTTCTTGACTGTGGTCAAACCTAAAACTATATCAGTCTTCTTATGAATGAGGATGAAATTCTGGCAGTGAACTGGTGTTGATATCAGTAAAACTATAGCTCCAAGTCTTGACTGAAAGTGATAATATATGGTGTTAAGGTGTATGCCGGTATGATATTTATTCGAATTTAATAAGTTTTCTATTATTGTATTTATGCATAGAATGTATTTTTTTAGAAATCCCATATGATGTGTAGAGCAATATTTAAAACTTATAACATGTACATTATTTAAAAGAAAGCCATTAATCATAATCACAACCTCCAAATAAATAGAAACTGTAATAATCATAACTTTATAACATCGTAATAAATGAGACTTTGAGATAAATGCAGAAGCAATGTAGATTGTACATGCTACAATAGAAATAACATTATAAACGGAGGAAAATTTCAGATCGATTCAAAGACTTCTAACCATAAGAGATGTAAAAATCAAAAGTTGAATGAATGAATGAATTATGAATGAAAGCATATGTGGGAGGACATTGTGTTATTAGCAAGGAATCTTCTTGAATGAATTACTTCCAATGAATTGAATCAAAACATTAGAGCACAATGAAATCAAATGTGCTAGAGAACTTAAGGCGTACCATATCCCTGCATTTCCTATAAAAGTTGATAAGAGAGCCTGAGTGGAAAATCCTGGAAAGAATAAGAGCTTTAAGATGGCATGGCTAATGGCTCAGTCCTGCACCCTCTATCTCGCTGAGGCAATTCATCGAACACATATTGAGCATCACTCCACAGTCTAGATGCTAGAGCATTAATACCAATTCCATTTTTAACTACAAAATCACACTAATTGCTAAGTAAAACTGTAAATGATTTTTAGAATTGTTCTAAAACATATAAGTACGAAATAAAATTATAACTTTAAATTTGAATAAAGATGGAAAAGAAGAAACATATTTAGGATTTACTGCCGCCACTTTGAAGGAAGAAAACTTGGAGTTGCAGGTAGTGGTCTTGCAAGGCCAGTCTCCTCAATCGCCTTAACTTTTTTTCTTCGTTTGTGAGAGAGGCCGTGAGTAAAATGAAACTGGAGTCCGAGAGTCGTGAAACCAGCGACGCCGTGAGACCGATAGGGCAAAGTCCAGCTTCTGTGGTGGTGGTTAGATAGGAGAATAGAGCCAAAGATACATGAACGGAAGAGAAATGAATCGTTCATCTGCTGGAGCTGCTGGAGCGTCCGTTCAAAAACCACTTATGTCCTCCCCACAACCTAATTAACCCTACTTTATATGTAACTAGTATTTATGTAAATTATTTTCAATGTAATATTTTAAATTGAATTTGTGAAAATATATATAATGTGTTTTTTTATTACAATAGAGATTGAAAACAAAACAGAATAAATAATTTACTACTCCGTATTTAATATTTAGTAATGAAAATTCTTATATACAAATTCAAAAGTGAACATCTCAAAGATTTTTTATATCTATGTTTTTTTTAGAAAGACTTTGGGGTATACAACATTTTTGGTGTAGTTGCAAAAATTTTCGTTATCATCTGGAACTAATAATTTTTACTCTCCCTTTGCTTTCACTCGTGAAACAGCAACGCAAAGTTGACCATGAGTGAACACCGAATTGATTAAAAATAATCCAACAAATGATAATGTTTGACTTTGTTAAAAGTTATAGCAAAACATAAAACATTGGAAATTATCTTTTCTAGAACTTTAAGAGTAGTCGTGGATCAAATGCTACCAAATTCATTCTAGATATGTAAATCTTTTTCTCGACTCATTTTTTCGAAACCATAATTGCATCGATAATATTATTTCGTCAATGTAGCTATAATAGGGTGGATATAGCAACACCTAAGTTAAATTATCTTTAATACTACCTCCGTCCCATTGTCTTTGTCCAGTTTTGACTTTTGGAACTGTTCATCTAAGCACTTTGACTCATCAAATTCTCTCAATGTGTAAGCCTAAAAATAGTCATGTGTGATCTTGTTTGATTCGTCTTAACATATAGATTATTAATATATAATTTTTATAATTTTTTAATATACAAATTACAAGATAAAATAGATTAAAGAAGTGCATTGGATGGTGTGCCAAAAAGTAAGTGGACAAAGACAGTGGGACGGAGGGAGTAACGTTTTAAAATATTTAAAAATGTTTGTTTTTAAAAATAGTTTCTATCCCTCTAAACAATGAAAAATGCAAGGGGATATTATTTTCTTTTGAAATAATTTTCCCTTAGAAATTATTTTTCTCCAACCAAATATACTCTAATTTGTTATTTTTTTAATGTTTGTAAGTATATGATTTTATTGCGCTTACTTGAGGAAACTATTAAAAATTTTGAATTTTTACCTAGGGTTAACACACTACAAATGTTATTGTTTACAATTTATACAAAAAAAATTTGGATAGAAAATCTTGAGCCTGCTTCGAAATGTTCGAATCTCAAAAGGAATGAGACAAAGCAAGATAATATCGTGTTTAAAGGGAGATAACCATTTATTTTTATTTATTTATTTTTTTGAAATTTTCTTGCCTATTTTTGTGAACAAGGAGGGGGATTTGGGGGTTCACTTTTGGTGTATCCCTAGTAGTTTCCGCTTAGAAATTAGGATACCAAATTCTTAATTTTATGAACAGGATATGATAGGAGTTTTATGAACAAGAGTAATTTTTTTAAAAATTGATAAAAAATAAAAATTGATAAAAAAAAAAGTTTCTTTTTTAAGAAGCCTCCCCCAAGGAAGCAAATCTTCGTTCAGCGGTTACGCTGTTATCCAATCTCCAGCTTCAGAGCTATTTTCTTTTTCTCCAAAATTTCCAGGTTAGTACTCTGTAACAATTTTGAATAATTTGTTCGTTTCTTTCCCGATTACTCCATGTGCTCTCGATAACATGGGGTTTCAATGTCTGGATGCCCCAATTGAAGCAACCAAGGTTCCCTGTTCTTAAAGGATGTGAAGAAGTTGTTGAATTTGAATCGTTGGAAGTTTAGCCTGTTCAAGAAAGAAAATTTCAGATTTTCACCTAAATGCACAAATTTTGAACTTGAATTTGTTGGAAGTTGTTGAATTTGAATTTGAATTGTTGGAAGTTGTTGAATTTGAATCGTTGGAAGTCCCGGATATATGAACACTAATTTTGTATTGATTGTATAATGTAAAGATGTTGTTATGATTTTTTTTAAATTTGTTACTGATCACCCCGTACTGCAGTCACACATTCTCGAACTTGGGACCCCATAGATTGAACTTCCAGTGTCCGTCTGGCCGTCTCTGAACTTCCAGTAGGTGGCAGTGTCAGTGTCATCAAATGTCTGGCTCAAAAGCAGGCAAAGATAGTGATGGTAGTAAGCCTACAATAAAACGAAATCTTCCCTCGTGGATGGGGTCAAAGCAAGACACAAGTAATTTTGACGGGGGCAAAAAAGCTCGCAATGGTGCTCAAGAAGGAAATGAAACCGACTCCGATTTATCCACCTCAAACTTCTCAAAACTCATGGTAGTATTTTGATTTCTACCTATCTGATCTCTGCTTAGTTTGAATCGTTTGATTTTGAAAAATATTTCATTAAAAGGAGTAACACTATGTTTGGTTCAAGGAATTGAGGAAGAAAGGAAAATGATAAGGAAAAGAAAAGAAAAGGAAAGAAACTCAAAATTCTAGTTATGTTTGGTTAAGATGAAAATTGATGAAGAAAATGTATTCTCAAGCTCTTTTTGTTTGGTTAGAAGGAAATTTGGTGGAATTGTGCAGATCTATGACACTGTGAGGTCATGGTTGTATAAAACAAAAGATGATAAATCCATCAAAGAGGAACTGGTGGGAAACCTGGAGCTACTGGAAGGGGAGCTTTGGGAAGGGCCATATTTTGGTGAGGGGATGATTGGGCTTCAGAGACGGGAGAGATGTGCCATATTTTGGTGGCGAGAAGACATGGCAGAGACAAGAGCGATGGATTCTCTCGTTTTCCTTCCAAAATCGGGAGGAAAATGATTTTGCCTTTTTTTAATTCATTTTCTCCCCACTTTTCTTTTCCTCTCACTTTTCCTTTCCTTTTCTCACTAACCAAACATAAAAAAACATTTTCCTCCTATTTTCTTTTCTTTTCCCAGACAAAATCCTTGAACCAAACATAGTGTAAATGATTGTATTGGTTGGTGCAGGAGGGTGTTGTGTTTGTGTTATCCGGCTTTGTAAATCCTGAACGTGCTACGCTGAGGTCTCAAGCCTTGGAAATGGGAGCTGAATATCAACCAGACTGGAATTCAAATTGCACCCTTTTGGTTTGTGCATTTCCAAACACTCCGAAGTTCCGGCAAGTTGAGTCAGATCTTGGGACCATTGTGTCCAAGGTTTGTTTCTTTATACGCTGTTGCATGATCTGTCGGAAATGATTCATGTGTTTGTCAGATCAGTTGCAGTTCATTTATGGCAAGGGCTTTTGTGCTCTCATAGACTGCAGTGCATAATCAGTTCCTTAGTATGTATTGGAATACTCATTCAAGAACTCGTGCATATTTTTCACTTGCCCCTTCCATTCTCTTGACCCACTGATTTCTACTGTGCTTCCTTTTGTCTTGTAAGTCATTGGAAAAGTACTGAATTTTTTTCCTAATAAAATATGTGGATATGTTCTCATTTTGAGTTCACTGAGATAATTTGGTTCTTCTCAGAAACGGATGAATGGTAGAGAAGAGAAGTAGTTATACTCAATAAGAATAACAGTGTATTTGAACAGGAAATTGGAGAATTATGCCTAAGGTCTACAAGCATATTCATATAGGATAATAGGAAACAATAATCCCTGTTTTAGGAGAATCATTATGCAAAGTTTAATTTAACAACAAAAACAACAACCCAGTTGAATCCCACAAGAATAGGGTATGGGGAGGGTGTGTGTACACAGACCTTACCCCTACTTGAAAGTAGAGAGGCTGTTTCCAAAGAGACCCCCGGCAGCGTCAAAAGTTGCATTGATTGATTAACTACTACTTCATTAATTAAAGAAGCGCAGACAATTTAGAGATCCCTTTTTCCTTATTCCATCACACCCCAAATCCAAAAAATAGTAAATTTTTGGCTTCATCTGAAATGATGAAATGATTAAACAAAATGATGAAAATAAAAATACTAGTACTTCAAATATTCTCAGCTTCTAAAATATAAAGGAAGAACAAAACTAGCCGTAAGCATTGCAACAAACTACTGTGGATCCCTTTTACGATCTCGATTTCCCAACATGCTAGATCTTGAAGATTGATGAAACCCTAGGGATCTAAGCTCTTTCATCATATACTTATCAGGAAAAGAATGGAATATATTTGCCTGTTTGGTAGCCCACTTATTTGGCTTATCAGATAGATTAGCTAGATTTTCTTCCAAATACTACCTTACTTGGCCACTGCAGAAGTGCTGATAATAAATAAAGCAAAATTATCTAGAAAATAGTGTACTTTTTAGTTAAAATGTAGAGGAATATAATTTCTGTTAATTTATTAAAAAGGTCCAGACGCCCCAAGCCATTTAGGGGCCCTACAGTGTTCCATTGGGCCTGAGGCTGGGGGATGGGTTCAGAGGTCCAAGCTGGGTGGGGGGGGGGGGGTCGCTGCTCGCTGCCAATCTATTTTAATTTTCACTTTAGACAATACAAGGCCAATCTGCCATTCTTTCCATTTCAAAGTCACTCATCTAATTCAATGGTTCAACCCATATCAATCAACTGCATTGTTCTTGTTGTTGTTGTAACCCATATCAATCAAATTTTCCAGCGACCAACCTGACCCTGTTTTTAGTAAAGTTTACCATAAAACTTTCCATCCCACTTTGCTCGGATGAAGGCTTTACCTTTGAACATTTTGGGAAGCAATAAAATTTAGAGTTGTTCGGTTTTAAAACTTGGTTCAAGGCATTGAAACACATTTAGTGGGTTCTGACTGAGTTTGAAGGTTGTTTAATACATACTCCGTAGTATCTGGTATTGTCATTCACTACTTGTGCATTTTTTTTGGATTTGCGGCTGCATGATGGATGGGTATCTCTGCAGAACTTTGGATGTATTTGGAACTGATGTTGATCAGGTGTTAATGTCCAGGGGTGGGAGGCGTTGATACCTTGTGTTATAACATCCTTTGAGGAGTTTGTTATAGTATTTTTCAGGGTTCAATTGACAAAATGGAACATTGAAATATGAACATGGGGTTTACTTTTTAGCTATACCAACTCTGGTTATTAATTTATAGTCACTCTGTCTCAGAATGAAGTTTACACATTGACTTTTCTTGGCAAAATGTTCAATATTAGACTATAATTTGCATTAAAAATGAATTGAGTTATAATTTGACCTTAACATCATTAATTTCATTTTAAAATGTAGTTTGGAATATGTTGTGTTTATAATATTTATTTATCTATAATTGAAGATATTAATGGTTAAAGTATTGTATTGAAGACCATGTCAAACTATTAACTTCATTGTGAGACGGAGGTATTATGTCAAATGGTGCTACACAATGACATACACCACTAGCGCCCATCTCTGTTGACTCATCAGTAATTGTTCTCCAGTTTCACAATCAAGATCTACAAACTTGATTTCTATCTCTTTGATTAACAAAATTTGGAACAGGATTGGATAGCAGAATGTTATAAACACAGACAGCTCATCGATATTGAGCCTTACATTATGCATGTTGGGAAACCATGGAGGAAGCAAAGTGTTTGCAAAGGTTAGTCACTTAGTCTCATCCAAAAAATGGAACATAAAAAAATACAAGCATAAAAAAAGTTACATACTCCGTACTTTATGTCTTAAAAAAGACAAACACAAAAGAAGTTACATACTTTATGTCCTTATTGAATTGAGCTAACACAATTTGGTTCTCCTCCCTCACAGATAATAGGTCACTGCCTTTGAGAAAATCTCAAGAAAAAATAGAAACCTCATGCTCAGACTTGACTAATCCTGCACCATCTAAGGTCTGCTTGATTTCTATCATCTTTTAGCAAATGGATACTATCCAATGACTATTAAGTGTGTGATTTTCTATCATTGCCAAGTCCAATTTTATGGTGGAAGCTTCAATGGTGTTTGGGGCATATTTGCATGACAGTGAAAAGTCAGTTTTTGAAAATCTGATATCTACAAGGCTCAAGGTTTCTAGTTTTGTAGTTTTGTACATGAGTTCAGTGTGTGGTTTTGAAGCCTTCTATACATGCCTGATGTACAACTGCATATATTGAAATTTCCGAGAGGTCAACATGGGTAATGAAAAAGTTATGTAAATAAACATATCTGAATTCTCAGTCTACTCTAATTATCGTACGTGAAACAGGGCATACGCTCCAATGGTTTCGAAGAATGTTTCTATCCTTCTAACGTGAAACAATGGGTTGCTGAAGATCTTAATAGAACTATTTCCTGGCTTGGAAGTCAAGACGAGAAGGTAATAGATGTTTGTCTTAATATTTCTAACCATTTCACAGATTTCGTGTTTTCAGCTAGGTACGACATCATTCGTGGTGATTGATGACTATGGGCATGTTCTCTTTGTCTAGTCAGAATTGAGGTCTGATCTGATCTAAATCCTTCTGGTCTGATCTGAATTGAACTAAAGTTGTTTCTTATGTGATTTGGTCTGGTCTGATTTGAATATTTTTGATTTGATTCCAATAAGAATAAGTAATAAGTAATAAGTAATAAGATGAAGAGAACATGCCCTAATGTTGTTGCAATATAGGTAGATGTTACTCCGTAATTTTAAACCGTCAACAATGACTGTAGTTGTTTGATCTTAAGTCCAATTGTTGAAATCTAGTCCATATGGATAGGTGCATCAAAAAAGTTGTACCTANGGAGACCGCCATGGCACGCCTCACACACATCGCCTCGCCCGACCAAATTCAGACCTGGAGGGTCGCCACAGTGCCATAACCGCCATAGGCAACCATGGTGCTCGCCTTTCATGACTATGGTTTTTTTTGCTTATTATTACTCCAATAAGACTCCACATTTGGCCCAATATTCTTTCATTACATGGAAAGTTGAACCTTATTTTGAGACATACCAGTAAGGGAAGTGTAACCTTTTTTCAAATGAATTAGTAAGTTGTATCATATCAGTGAGAGTCGTATTTAACTGTTAACACTAACTGCATCCTGCATTGTTCAGTTTTCAAAGACATGTTCCTCTATTCATGCTTTCATTGATCAATTTAGAATTGCTCACATGTATCTAGCATGAGTGCACTACGGGTCTACGGTCTCTAACAGACCATTATTAGCAAAGCATATTTGTGGCCCTTTATTTGCTTCATGAATTGTTCGTTTTACCAGCCAGAGCCAGATGAGATTGAGAAAATAGCAGCAGAAGGGATCTTGACCTGTTTACAGGATACCATAGATTCTCTAAAGCAAGGAAAGGTATAATTTTGTTTCTTTGGCGCATTTATTCTTTGGGAACATAAAGCTTCGCGGCTGTTCTAAATTTGAAGTTTACAAGTAACATCACTGATTATAAACAATATTAGTTCAAATGCGTCGTTTTCTAGAGCGTCATGATGGGCAAATATTTTGCACCTGACAATTCTTTTTGTGGCGTATCTAATGCCTTTTGCTTGTAATAGTGAAATGTCTAACTGAATTGAATTTACTGAGATTATGTCCTACATGGACTGAATTCTCTAAACATATACTCCGTATTTAAAATGTATGGAGCATTTGGACTATCTTAAACTCCTAAGACATTATATCTTGAAAATGAGAATAAAAGTGCCGTTTCGTTTATACTTCAGTTAAAATTTTGCCCAACTTTTTTCAACATGTGTCCGTTACCAATGAAATTGACTTTGTTTCGGCTTTGGCCTTTGGGTAAACACTAGACTAAACCAAAGTGCACACATTAATATTCTTCTGCTTCTTAATGCCGAAATAGCACTGCGAAAAGACCAATAAGCCAAATGAATGGATTACAAAATGAGAACTGCTATATATTGTCTTCTCTTTTCTTTTTTAGGAAGTGCAACAAATTACAGAGCAGTGGGCATGCATCCCTCGCGCAGTTGAGGAGCTGGCAAAATTTCAAGCCAGTGAAGGCCGTGGGGTCACCCGGGTACAAAAGGAAGATCTCTGCAAGCAAGCTGAATCCTGCAAACAGATTTATGAGCAAGAATTCAGAAGCAGAAACCAGTCACAAATCAAAGGGAGGGAGCCAAGCATTACAGGTACTTGTGATAGTGATGAAACAATTGAGATGACAGAAGAGGAAATTGATAAAGCTTATGATTCTGTGTGCTCCACAATTCCAAGGTGGTAATTAGCTTTGTCTTGTCCTGTCTTTTTGAGCACTCTCTATGTAACTCCTGCTTAATTTGTACCTAAGGGATTATGCTCAAAAAATATCCCCCCCCCCTTAGTTTCTTTCTTACTACCCCTTTTTGTTCCTAAAATATCAGTGGGGTTTAAATGGCATGGGAGGCCAATGTCATCCTATGACACCATACCATTTTGAGGAATCTATAGGACTCCATTCGACCTTGAATTCATTTTTCACCATAAAAACCCCCCACCCTGGCCCAACCCCTACCCTCACCCCCTACCCCATGGCTCCACATCTATTAGGGGCACCGTTCATAGTGGATGGTGCTTTAAATTGATGGGGGGTGGGAGGTTTTAAGAGGTAAGAACCATTTCGAGGTCAAACAGAGGAGCATTGTACGTTCAAGTGGTTTAACAACTTTTATCACTTGTTGATAACGGAATTAGGGATTAGTTAGATTACAAGTGATGGTATACTCAATCTTTGGCCATTAGCGTATGGATTTAGTGGTGTTTCTTCGTGTTAATAAGTTAGTTACAATTGCTTATAAACTATTTTTAATTTATAAGTCAGCTGATAATAAGTTGGTTACAATTTACCTACTTATTTTTAAACTAATATTTGTATTTTTCCTTTTTGATCAGATTATTTATAAAATCATTTCTCATCATTTATGAATATTCATAAATAACTTATCTATAATTTATGTCATTTTATTTCCACACAAGAATATTTAACTTATAAAGAACTTATAAGTTAAAACGGTGGGGTTCTAATGCCACTGGAGTACGGTGCTACTCCGGTGCCACTGGCATTTTGGGGCACCTCCGGTGCTCCGTTCGCAAAATTGACGGTTCCTACCCCCCATAACCCACCCCCTAAACTCTCCACCCTACCCCCGCCCCTGCACCCCCACCCCAATCCCGCCGTAAGCCCCCCACAAAATGTGTGGCTATTATGAACGCATAATAGCCACACATTTTGTAGGGGGCTTACGGCGGGGTTGGGTGGGGGTGCAGGGGCGGGAGTAGGGTGGGGGGGTTTAGGGGGTGGGTTAGGGGGGTAGGAACCGTCAATTTTGCGAACGGAGCACCGGAGGTGCCCCAAAATGCCAGTGGCACCGTACTCCAGTGGCACTAGAACCCCACCGAAGTTAAAAATTACTTATAAGTGAGCATTCATCCATTAACCTCATTAAAGTTAACCAATTATCATGTCTAACCTCATGGGAATGGTTACTTCATTTACGAATTGGGTTTCATTCGACCATCTCAAGGTGGGCTTCAACAGAATGAGAATCCTCCTAGGCCCATCTAGTGATTTTCCTGTCTTTGATAACATGGGCTGAGTATATTGGGCCTAACAATTTATTAGATTATCGGTCAACCCAATGTACATACCACGTGCCCCCTTGTTTTGTCTGTATCCAAATAAAGTGAGACACATACAAAAAAAGAAACTAGAAAGGTTGTAAAGAAGTTATAAGGAATTTAAAAAAATTAGAAAAAGCCGACAACAATTGAAAAAGGTTATAAATAGTTGGAAAGATTTGAAATAAATATTATATTGTGTGATGGTGTAAATTCCACCGGGTATGGGAAGTAGGTAACTAGGTCGGGTTAGGGAGGCCTAACCGGGTAAATAAAGATAAGCTTAATAGTAAGGAACACAGCACAGAATTACCTAGACCGGGGTAAATCTCCCGAGTCCGAATATATTTCTTACTCTAAGAAGAGTGTACAGGATTTTATGGAAGTAGTAGTGAATGCCTTCTCCTCTCTCTATCACAGATTATTTATAGAGTAGAGGAGGCTCAGTAGGTGCATGGAAGCTACCCACTTAATGACAAATAACCAGACAACATCTATCACTGTGCAATCAGACATGTTGATTGAATACAAATCTGGGATGGTGCCAAAGGACTTTACCACACTGATCTCTTGAGTGACGGGTGTGGGTCCCTCCATTGATCTCTTAGATACTAGGGTTTGGGGGAGGCGGATACGTCCGGCCATGATCCATAGATCGAAACTCAAAAGTGAGACCGGTTAAGTTGTACGGAGCCCTATGCTTCATTCCTCAAGAGCTCAAGATAGTGACCGGTCTTCAATCCGGGGGTGACCGGTCATCCACGACTTTTCTAAAATAGCTTCCAAGGTTCATCTTCGAAAACCGAAAGTGTGACCGGTCACCTATCTTCCGGGGGTGACCGGTCACCAAATGTCGCGCCCAAAAGTGTTCTAACGACCATTCTTGAAGACTAAAGTCGTGACCGGTCACCTTTTTCCGGAGGTGACCGGTCACCTAACGTCGTGTCCCCAATACTNCTATGCTTCATTCCTCAAGAGCTCAAGATAGTGACCGGTCTTCAATCCGGGGGTGACCGGTCATCCACGACTTTTCTAAAATAGCTTCCAAGGTTCATCTTCGAAAACCGAAAGTGTGACCGGTCACCTATCTTCCGGGGGTGACCGGTCACCAAATGTCGCGCCCAAAAGTGTTCTAACGACCATTCTTGAAGACTAAAGTCGTGACCGGTCACCTTTTTCCGGAGGTGACCGGTCACCTAACGTCGTGTCCCCAATACTCAATTTGCCAAGTTCGGAAAAGTAGATCGTGACCGGTCACCTAATTTCTGGGGTGACCGGTCACATATCGTCATGTCCCAACAAGTCGCCTAGCCGAATCTGTGAGACCCGACCCGTCACTGGTCACCCGACCTCGCGGTTGACATGTCACCTCGGTATCGATGAGTATACCTGGGTATGTAATATACCCATCATTGTGTAAAACCTTTTAATTTCATTTTTTATCATAGTGACTTAAAATCTTGTTGTTTCATTATTATCGTCTCTTTTTACGTTTTATATGTTATTTCGATTGGTAAAAATGTTTCAAACCTTGTTTGTCCATCTAAAAGGTCCATGTTTACTTTTGGGCATATTCTACCATGGACCTAAGGTCTATGTTGTACCTACAGATGAAGCCAATAAGCATTTGTTTAATGTTGAGATAAGCATTTTTATTTTTTATTTAAAAAAATACTCTCTTCGTCCCCCCATAGATCTTCCCAATAGCCCTTTTTCTTTGTCCACAATAGATCTTCTCATTTCTTTTTTTAACAATTAAAATATTACAACTACCCCCACTTACTTTATTTATTACACATCACCTACCTCATTTAATACACTCCACCCATTTTTCATTAAGGGTATTATGGTAAACTTTCACCTTTTTTCAACTCTCCTTAAAAACCACCAAAAATCAAAATGAGAACATCTTAGGAGGACGGAAGAAACACTCTTACTTTTGAGGAAGAAAGGTCATGTTTGGTAAATGGCGGTTCGCCCAGCATTTGACATCTTTGACCATAAATAGCAGATTGGGCTAGTCAAATCGCGAAATTAATTGTCTGGATAATGGTTTTTGGAAGTGGCATTTAGAACCGAACAGCCAAAAATTGAAATGTCAACCCTAGTAGCATTTTATTTAGCAATTCACCTCCTTTTCCATTTCTTACCCTTTTTTTGGTGCTGCGTCTCTCTGTGATCCTCACGGCACTGGAAGTTTTCCTGACTTTCTCTATGCAATTCCCTCACGGCACCTCTCTAGCTTTCTCTCTGCAATCCTCTTTGCACCGGAGGTATGTATATTTTTATAAATAATGAATTGTGTATTTTTTTTTGTGAGGGAGGGACTAAGGGAGTATAATTTAAAAAAGGGATTTTGGAGAAAGCTAGCCACGATTAGCACTTAGCAGGAGATTATTGTCATGATCAAGATGTTTTGTGAATCCCATAATAAATAATTGAATTCTATAGATTTGCATGATTTTTTTCTGCTTCTCTTGTACAGCAATTCAGCCTTTTTTAAATGCTGTGATTCTGCTTTATTTTTCTGCAATTTTGTGTCTCATCTGTAATTCTTTTTTTGTTTCTCTTGCTGCTTCTCTTGCTTTTTTTGTTGCGATTTTATTTTTTTCTGATTCTCTTGCTGCACAATTATGTAAAGGGTTCATAGATCTTACATCTCACATGCAGATCCAACTATTATGTATGTACTGACATCTTTTTGCTGCGATATATTGATTGAAAAAATAGGTACTGGTAAAAATTCAATTTTCTATACTGTGATATCTATATTTTTTGTTGTGTTGAGATGGTATGAGAAGTCGAGAAATGAGAAACATCCGTAAGAATATTACTTCTAGTTTGATGGCGAGAAGATCTCATTAGTAAAAAGTCGAGAGCTTGTCTGATTTTTTGTCACTTCTAATGCTCATGTCGTCTCAAAAGATGTTTGATACTTCAGATTGTGATCTATTTATTTAATTTTTTGAATAATTTATTGAATTTTTTAATTTAAAATTGGTGTAGTATTTTTATATATTTGTGATACCATATTTAAAAAATTATAAATAAAATATATCATACATGGTTATTATTTGTAGAATGATAAATGAGAAAAATGCAAAAAAGATTTGCTTATAAAATATAAATGTAAATTCTCATTTCTTAAATTAAAAAAAACGAAGTAGCCTTTTTTGTCTAACAAAAAAATATGTGTAAAGCATTTTCTTGTATAATGTGTGTATTTTATCAAATTAAAAAAATTAAAATCATACACAAATTAACATAAATGGGGGGATGTCCTTATATGTAAGTTTACTCACAAACAGCTAGCTATAAACAGCTAAAGTTGCCAAACATCTAATTTTTAACAACTAACAGAAACAACCGGTCAAAACAGCTAACTCAATCAGCCATTCAAACCAGCCAACAACCAACTGCGATGTTCCAAACAAGGCCATAGTGTGGGACATACAATTTCTCTTTCTTCTTCACAAAAATTAACCACTTTTATTTTTTATTTATAATTATATGTAGTCATTTGTAAAACCTTATTTTAGAACAAAGAGGATATTTTTCACTATTCTTCTTCATGGACTATGGAGAATGAATTTGATGTTATTCCAGCGAAGGAAGTGTTAAATTATGGTGGGCCGAGAACAACAAGTGGAGTATCAGGTAAAATTAATCACTTTCATATAAAGTACTCTCTCCGTCCGGAAATATTCTTCCCACTTTCCTTTTTGGCCCGTCCGAAAATATTCTTCCCATTTCATTTTTTAGTATACTTTTTAAGGATAAATATCAATAATACCCTTCTATTTTATCACAAATCTACTTTTTTAGTATTTTTTTAATAATAAAAGGAGATTTAAAAGTTTATATTATGTGCATTTTTGAAAATGTTGCATTTTTTTTACTATTCCTTAATAAGCGTGCCAAGTCAACACGGGAAGAATATTTCCGGACGGAGGGAGTAACATACTAGTTAATCCCAACTTTCCTTACAACGGTGTGGCTCCACATACTCGACTTCTTCGAGCCCTGAAATAATAAGAAATCGTCAAACTCTACACGATATATGTTAATGTTTCTTCAAGAAGAAAACACGGAGTTGTACGTATAGAGAGAGAGGAGAGAAGAAGACTTCACCCGCGACTTCATCCGCCTCTTTCTCAGTCAAGTAAGCACTAAAGCAATGGCGATAACGGCCACCCTTGTAAATGTCTTCGAATTCAGACTCACTACTGCAGAACATGCCATAACATTGTCAAACACGGAGTAGTTTTGAAGAAAAAAACAACATCCATTCACAAATAAGGCATCGAGAAAAGTCTCTCTCACCGATTGAGTGTGTCTAGCAGCAAAGCTATCTGATCATCAGCATGCATATCATTTGCCAAGTTTACTGTGTACCACTGCCGTTGCACACGGTGCGTATCAGACAATGCTACGGAGTACAACTCAGTAGTAGTAGTAGCAACAACAGCAATAATAATAATAATAACAATAACAATAACAATAACAATAATAGTTCCTCGTAATAATAATACATTGAACAATGGCTTCTCCCAAAAATTACTTTAAAACTCAAAGTTCTTACGGCAACCATAGCAGACTCAACGTTCCATTTTAAATGGTGTGTTTGGTTGCGCGTAAAATATTTTCCAGGAAAATTTTGATTCCATTTACATGTGTTTGGTGACATTAGTGGAAGGAAAATATTTTCCTACCAAACAATGGATTATATGATTGAAGAAGAATTTTCCTTGGAATTATTTTCCTTCGGAAAATATTCTTCAAAGAAAATATTTTACCCCCAACCAAACACAACCTAAATTAAAGAGCAACTCTTTTTTAGCCAAGTTGGAAATCTGGCACAAAGGTGAATTTGGGGGCAAAAACTAACTCTAGAGCACACATGTGGACTTACACAACTAGTATCGGGATTTGGGAAGGTTATATTTTAATGAGATTTTAGGGTCAAGCATCATTGCCTTCAATTTTACCCCCAAAAGTAAACTATTTACACATCAGATTCAGAAGACCATGTAAATAGTACTTAGAACACAAACCCGTTTCCCAGCTGCATCCAGAGAAGGATAATACTCGTATTCTTCAAAAGGATCATCATAATCACTGCTGCAATAGTCGTAGTCCCCTGTAAAGACGTTGAACAATGAATCCAGAGAAACCATCAATACAACACGCACACACACACACACACACAAGGTTCTGATTTTGTTAAGAGGAAGGAAAAAAACACCAAGTTGAAACAAAACAAACAATATGGAATAGTAATAGTAGTAGAGCTACTCTATGTTTTAAACATAGGGATCACACTGCGTACATTGGACCCCCCCTTCCCACGCAATGGGCAGGAGCCGCTGAGGCACTGGGGTAATGTTGTTGTGATTGTTGTCATAGTAGTTAAAATCACAATCCAGATCGTACGATTGTACGATTCCACAGATTGAACTGGGTTATCGATTCAAGTTACATGCTAGATCGGAAATTGATAGGGTGGGGGGGCTAGGGGGATGGGAACTTATCAGTTTTATGAACAGAGCACCGTAGTTGCCCCAAAACCACTGGTGTCATGAATCAGTGTCATTACACACACACACATATATATCTGTGTGTGTGTGTATATATATATATATATAGACACACACACGCGCGTAGGATCGTACAGTCCAATTCATGATCTTACTAGTTACAATCTTTATTAAGTCCATCGATCCTACATAGAATCTCAAGTTTGACTACCTTGGAAATGGGAGTGGGAGTGAAAGGCAAAACTAGCGTAGAGGCATTGGAGAAAAATGCGTTGAGGCTTATGCCTCAAGGCAAAATGAGGGGTAAGCCTCAATTCAAGTAGACAAAATAATACTAAAATAAATACTCCAAAGTAAAAAATGCATAAGCTATAACCATATCAATCATGTCATACAATCATACAATGGTCAATTTTAGGATTTAAAATACAGGAAAAAAATGATAAAATTGGATTTAAAGCAATTTCAAAACCAAAAGTAGTCTAATACATTTAAATTTCAACTACAAATAAAGATGAAATTTTAAGTTAAGCAAACTTCTGAGAAATTAAATAAAAATCAAAGATTAAGAGGGAGAGTGATATTGGAATACAATAAAACACCCACTTGGCATTGTGGGGCGTGCGCCTCATATCTCACAACTGAGGCTTAAAGTCACCGCCTCAGATGCCGTTTAAAACCATGATGATGATGATTATAACAATAATAATAAGCAACATAGATATGAGATAACAAGAATGATTTTTGGAAAACGCAAGTAAAAGTAATACCTGTTATGCTTTTTGCAAAGTCCTGCTCCAAACCTGTTTATAGCAAGTAATTAGTAAAAGAATGAGACTCTACAGGACAGAGAAATGCTCCGGGGTATACTCTATTTTGGTAAAAATTATTGGGTTACCATATTTTACAAAACGCTCCAGGGGTACTTAAAATTTGATGTAATGTACTCTGAGGGTACATTCCATAAATTCCACCATAGGAGGGGTGAATTGACCGAAATACCCATAAAAATTCATTTTGGAACCGCTCTTCTTTTTATTCTTCTTTCCTTTTCCAAAATAACATTTTTTTAAGAATTTACTATGTTTTCAATGTACAAGTGTTTTGCTAATTTTATTAGTATCTGTTTTGATTACTAATGACTAAAAATTAGCAAAACACTTGTACATTGAATAAAAAGAAGAGCGGTAAATTGATTACTGTCCCAAATCAGATACTAAAAAAAATTGGTTTTGGAACGACTGTCCCCAAAAGAAGGTTGGCAAAAAAATAGAGGAAGATTCGCCATAAAGAAGGTTAGTGTTATCTCCCACATTAATTTTAAAAAAAACATTCTGATTCCACAAACATCACATTCCTTGAATCTTTTTCTACTATTTAAATTCTCAAGAAGAAACATGCTGTTTCTTTCAAGTTTGTTCCAAATCTTCAACCGATCTCACCCATATTTATAATAACTCTGACACTACAGTATCAACACTTGAATCTGTCACATCACAACTCAATATGGTGCCACAACTGCCTCCATTACAAGTTTATCAGTCACCCAAGTCCTCCTCTAGAGGTTCAGGAGATTCCAATCTAAAGCACTTCATCTTGTGCTTTGAAGCCAAACCACAACAATCTACAGATTGCTTTCCAAGAAGGTACACAATCCACTCTTAACCCATATCTCATTTCTAATTTTCTCAACTATCAATAAGTCACTACTTAACATATTTCACTTCTCATCTTTTGGTTGCTCTAATTCCAAAGAGAAATCATGTGGCTCTTCCACATCTGAAGAGGAGATGGGCAATGGCGATAGAGAAATGGAGACTCTTCAGTCTAGTGGCACATGGAAAGTTGTCCCACTCCACCAAACAAGATAGCGGTAGGATGTCGATGGATCTAAACAGTGAAAGTTGGTGTGTAAGCTGTATGGTAATATTGAGTATTGATCGCCTTAAGGTTTTACTCTATTTAAATCAGTTTTTGATTGAAAATTCCAAATTTGTTTTGAACACATTTTTTATAAACAAAATGACAACTTTGAGATATTTACAAAAGAAAATCATTATTTTTATTTTAAATTAAATTTATTTATACACAAACATTTAAATATGAGTAAAATAATAAGTACAAAATGTACTTATCAAATTCCTCACACTTAAACGTTGCTTGCCCTCAAGCAACAAACTGAATAACTAAAAGAATTAGGACAACTTAACACATGAACGAGAAATATTTACACAATCTATTTGTAGGAATAAGATATTGGACAGTCATCAACTTAATTTTCTAAAAAGAAGTTTATACCCATATTGTTAGAAAATAAATCGATTGTCAAACTCGTATTTTTATACAAATTTAATCAATTCAGGTTTGTATGATCAAAATTTAGGAATGTTGGTGTTATCAAAATCATGTTCTGTGAATTTTAAATAATTATTTTCCAGTTACTTAAATATTTTACAAGGTCAAAGAATCTTTAATGATTGAATATTTACTCAAAAGCCTCATCACACGACATAGAACCGCATGCTTTTTGGCACTCACCCAAAATAAGTCTCATCATCTGACATAGAACTAAATGTTTTTTTTACTTTGAATTTTCGGAACTCGGTCTCACCAATAAGTGCTCATATTTTGAAGACTAGCGGAGCAGTATCTTAATATATTTCTAATAAAACAATTAAAAATTAATTGACCTTACAAAATATTTTGTGCAGAATGAATATTTATTGAAAAATTAGAAAACGTGATAATAATTCTACTGTTAGACCAAAATTTGTCAATTTTGTACCAAAAATTTTCAAAAATTTGCACAAAAATCTAAGTTTGACAAAAAGTTTTAAGTTTCCTGATTTTTAGGGTAATAGAATTTTTCTTAGAAAACTGAAATTGATGACTGACTATATAATTTTCCTACAAATATAGAGATAAATTATATTCCTAAAAAGTAATTCAACCATAACTCTATCCTCCTCACACTTAAAGAGAACCGCGCCCTTGCGGTATTAAAGTGATCAAAAATTAGAGTTATGATGGAAGAACTCTCATGCAAATACTATGTTGTCCTCACACTTAAAGATAAACAAAATGCTTATGTAAATAAAAATAAATAAAAATAGTTTACCAAAGATGTGTTCAAAACAAACTGAAGTTCCGATCAATCAATCCCGAGTCAAACAAACACAACAAAAGAAACATATTAGTGCAAGGGAATGGCTCACTGCCCACGTCCTCGTCCGCGACCCTGCCCTTTTTGGCTAGTGGAGTTACGAACTCCATACTGCTGCTCCATGAAATCTAGGATCTGGGCGATATGTGTATCATGTTGTGATAGAGTGTCCTCTACGCGCTGCTCATGGTCCTGGGTTTCCTTCCAGCGAGACTCCTGATTGCGCTCAAAGGCAGTCCACCGCTCCTCATAACGCTGGAAGAGTGAATCAATCGATGCCCGGAGATCACCAAAAGCAGCGGTCAGCTCGTGGAACGTAGTATGCAAGGGACGTGGAACAGCAGAGGAATAGGCTCCATCTATGGGCATGCTCTTCGGCATGTATGAAGGACTGCACGTGCATGTGCCCTGATCTGCTGGTATGTAATGTCGCGTGGTCTCTTCCTGAATCCCATATGAATAAGAGACTCAGTAGTGATGGGCCGCACACTAGACTGCTCTGGAAGAAGGGTCGGGATGACGATGTTAGGAACAAGGGCTCGAGTCAACAGAGTGACAATGGATCCTGCGTGGATGTGATGGCGGTTCCTTGTCGACTGAGCAAACAGGAATCGCCCAACAAAAGAGGAAAGGTCCACAACTGTGTGGCTCTTCAGGCTCCAAAAGAAAATCAAATCGGTGTCGTAAACTCTGTTGGCGTTCTTATGACGCATGAAATAGCTACAGCAGAGGATGTGGATGAGTATCCTCCATGCGGGACTCCTCCAATCAGATGAGGGACTGTATTTGTTGCTGAAGTCCCGGGTGCGGCGCGAATGAGTTCCCCAGAATGCCTTGACGTCAACATCCAATAGGAGTCGACGTGGCATCATGAGAAAATTATGTGAGCGTATCTCCTCGTGGGTATCCCAAATCAAGGATGGGGATATCAAACCTAGTCCCAAGGAGCGTGAATGTCATTCGTACTAAGGGATGCACTCTATCCACATCTCGTACTCTACTCCCATAAGCGCTGAACTTCAGCGAGCAGATAAACTCCATAGTCAATGGGACGCTAGCCAGTGCACAGAGTGCTAGCAAGTACCTCCATTTGGAGTCATGGAGAAAGTCGTCAACCTCGTCCCAGTACCCCATGCTCTCCAATGCTGCATGGTCCAAAATCTTAGGCGGTGTCAACACCTTCTTGCTACCCCAATCCCGATATCGATCACGTGCCTCGCAGGTAGCAAAAGGTAACTCTAGTCTACCAGCAGGAAAATCAGCCATCTGCACAAAATTGAACAAACATGTTAAACTTGCCCCCAAATCTGGTATGACAAGTACTCACTTTTTTTGTTCTTTTCTCTCACTTCTCTCAACATAAGTGCATCAAAAATGGTAACTGGACTGATTCAGAGTATTCGGGATCGGGAAGAATTCTGCCAATTAGGTGCTCTTAGGCTCACCCGAATAAACCGTTCATCAAATTGACCTAGTAGGAATGGTGGGACAAGTTCGGCTCCCAGAGGCGTCACCCTTTGTGTCCACTTAAGTACCATTCCAGCTTAGACAGTCGTTTTGTACACGGTACAGAAATCACTTTTAACACACAAATGCAATTTTTTTTGAAAAGACGGGTTGCCTCCCGTTTAGCGCTTCTTTAACGTCATTAGCTGGAAGCTAGTTTCCTTTTTCAATCCTCCAGAATGTGGAGGTACATTATAGTTCTCTCTCGGGACACATTCTCCCCTTCAAACTTCTTCAGACGATGACCGTTCACCTTGAAATCACTATTCTCCCCCCGCAATTCTACCGTTCCATATGGGTAGACTTTTACAACTTTGAACGGACCAGACCATCAAGACTTCAATTTCCCGGGAAACAACCTCAACTGGGAGTTGTACAGAAGTACCTGGTCCCTTCATGGAACTCCTTGGACTGTTTAATGTGTGCATCGTGATAATTCTTGACGCGCTCTTTGTAAAACAGATTATTGTGGAAAGCCAGCGTTCTCCACTCATCTAACTTGTCCAGTTGGTAGAATCTCTCCCTTCCTGCTGCTCATGAATCTAGACACACATTTCTGAGTGTCCAAAGTGCTTTATGTTCGATCTCGACGGGCAGATGACATGATTTCCCGTAGACGAGATGAAAGGGAGTAGTTCTGATGGGAGTTTTGTATGCAGTTCGGAAGGCCCATAAGGCATCATAAGGCTTGAAACTCCAATCCTTTCAAGTTTTAGCAACGATCTTCTCCAAGATCGCCTTCAGATCTCTATTTGTGTTCTCCACTTGGCCTTAAATCTGGGGATGGTAAGCAACACCCCCTCTGTGTTGTACTCCATATTTTTGCAAGGTTATGGCCAAGGGGTCATTCCTGAAATGTGTCCCTTTGTCACTTATCAACACCTGAGGTACTCCAAACCTCGCAAATAATTTCTTCAAGAAACGCACCACCATGCGCGCATCATCTTTTGGACAAGCTTGGGCTTTGGCCCACTTCCAGACGTATTCAACCGCCACCAGTTCCACATTTTCCTCTGGTGTCATACTAGGAAAGAACCAACCTTTGAAGAGTGATCAAGTTCTTTCTTTGATGGCACCATAAGTCCTTGATAAAAATGGAACATCAGGCTATCATCGTCAATCAGAGCAGGTGGACATTTGATTTCAAGTCCTTGAACCTTTCCCATGCCTCGCGTAAAGATTCGGTCGAATCCTGGGCGGTCGAATCCTGGGCGAAATTCTGGATTGACCGTTTGATTTTGGCAATGGTAGATGGTGGGAAATATTCGCGCATGAAGGCTTGGTGTAGTGCTTCCCATGTTTTGAAATGGCCCTTTGGGAACGTATTCAACCATCGTGCCGCCCTATCTCGAAGTGAGAAAGAAAAGAGCGATAGTTTGATATGATCGGAGGTCACTCCGTTCATCTTCAGCGTCTGACAAGTTCAAGTTCAAGAGAACCATAACATGTGGGCCCTTGGATCTTCCCCTTTCATACCCCCGAACTGATTATTCGAGACCATTTGGATCATGGCAAGTTTAATCTCGAATGTGTGAGCGTCAGTGCTGCTTGGGAGTCCGATAGGGTCTTCTTCAACGTGAGCGGGGCTCATGGCTTGGAGCACAGTTCGCCTACGTCCGTTATTCTCTTCCATATTGGGTTGGTCAACCTCTATCGCTTCTTCTCTCTCAGAATCCTCTCCGGGTGAATTTTTCAAAGTATTTTGTCGGAGAATTCTTTCAGAATTTTCAGTAAATGGAGCAAAACTACCCTCACTAGTTAAGCGGGTTTGCATGTAGTTTTGCCAAAATATGTAAAGATACCAGAAAATCTACCTAACCAATTTTTTACTAGGCTAACTATAGAAATTTATAATAGAAAAATTAAATTATGCACCAATCCCTGGCAACGGCGCCATTTAACGAAATATCACGATGCACACATTAAACAGTCCAAGAAGTTCCATGAAGAGGACCATGTACTTCTGTACAACTCCCGGTTGAGGTTGTTTCCCGGGAAATTGAAGTCTCGATGGTCTGGTCTGTTCAAAGTTGTAAAAGTCTACCCATATGGAACGGTAGAATTGCGGGGGGAGAATAGTGATTTCAAGGTGAACGGTCATCGTCTGAAGAAGTTTGAAGGGGAGAATGTGTCTCGAGAGAGAACTATAATGTACCTCCACATTCTGGAGGATTAAAAAAGGAAACTAGCTTCCAGCTAATGACGTTAAAGAAGCGCTAAACGGGAGACAACCCGTCTTTTCAAAAAAAATTGCATTTGTGTGTTAAAAGTGATTTCTGTACCGTGTACAAAACGACTGTCTAAGCTGGAATGGTACTTAAGTGGACACAAAGGGTGACGCCTCTGGGAGCCGAACTTGTCCCACCATTCCTATTGGATGTTGACGCCAAGGCATTCTGAGAACTCATTCACGCAGCACCCAGGACTTCAGCAACAAATATAGTCCCTCATCTAATTGGAGGAGTCCCGCGTGGAGGATACTGCAGCTATTTTGGGCATCATAAGAACACCAACAGAGTTTACGACACCGATTTGATTTTCTTTTGGAGCTTAGAAGGCCACACAGTTGTGGACCTTTCCTCTTTTGTTGGGCGTTTCCTGTGTTTGATCAGTCGACAGGGAACCGCCATCACATCCACGCAGGATCCACTGTCACTCTGTTGGCTCGAGCCCTTGTTCCTGATATCGTCATCCCGACCCTTCTTCCAGAGCAGTCTAGTGTTTGGCCCATCACTACTGAGTCTCTTATTCATATGGGATTCAGGAAGAGACCACGCGACACTACATACCAGCCAGATCAGGGCACGTGCACGTGCAGTCCTTCATACATGCCGGAGAGCATGCCCACAGATGGAGCCTCTTCCTCCGTTGTTCCACGTCCCTTGCCTACTACGTTCGACGAGCTGACCGCTTCTTTTGGTGATCTCCGGGCATCGATTGATTCACGCTTCCAGCATTATGAGGAGCGGTGGACCGCCTTTGAGCGCAATCAAGAGTCTCGGGAAGGAAACCCTGCAGCACGTATAGGACACTTCAGGAGTCTCGGGAAGGAAACCCAGGAGCGCGTATAAGACACTTAGGATACACAAAAAGGGCACGGACGCGAACGAGGACGTGGGCAGTGAGTCATTCCCTTGCACTAATATGTTTATTTTCTTTTGTTTGTTTGACTCAAGATTGATTGATCAGAACTTTAGTTTGTTTTGAACACATCATTGGTAAACTATTTTTATTTTAATTTACTTTTATTTACATAAGCATTTTGTTTATCTTTAAGTGTGAGGACAACTTAGTATTTGCATGAGTTCTTCCACCATAACTCTAATTTCTAATCACTTTAATACCACAAGGGCGCGGTTCTGTTTAAGCGTGAGGAGGATAGAGTCATCAATTTCAGTTTTCTAAGAAAAATTCTATTACCCTAAAAATCAGGAAACTTAAAACTTTTTTTCAAATTTAGATTTTTGTGCAAATTTTTGAAAATTTTTGGTACAAAATTGACAAATTTTGGTTTAGCAGTAGAATTATTATAACGTTCTCTAATTTTTCAATAAATATTCATTCTGCACAAAATATTTTGTAAGGTCAATTAATTTTTAATTGTTTTATTAGAAATATGTTAAGATACTGCTCCGCTATTCTTCAAAATATGAGCAGTTATTGTTTCTTTAAAAGTTTTTTTCAAATAAAACATTTTTTGCAACACACTTTGGTGAGACCGAGTTCCAAAAATTCAAAGTAAAAAAAAACATTTAGTTCTATGTCAGATGATGAGACTTATTTTGGGTGAGTGCCAAAAAGCATGCGGTTCTATGTCGTGTGATGAGGCTTTTGAGTAAATATTCAATCATTAAAGATTCTTTGACCTTGTAAAATATTTAAGTAACTGGAAAATAATTATTTAAAATTTCCAGAACATGATTTTGATAACACCAACATCCCTAAATTTTGATCATACAAACCTGAATTGATTAAATTTGTATAAAAATACAAGTTTGACAATCGATTTATTTTCTAACAATATGGGTATAAACTTCTTTTTAGAAAATTAAGTTGATGACTGTCCAATATCTTATTCCTACAAATAGATTGTGTAAATATTTCTCGTTCATGTGTTAAGTTGTCCTAATTCTTTTAGTTATTCAGTTTGTTGCTTGAGGGCAAGCAACGTTTAAGTGTGAGGAATTTGATAAGTACATTTTGTACTTATTATTTTACTCATATTTAAATGTTTTGTGTATAAATAAATTTAATTTAAAATAATTAATTATTATTTTCTTTTGTAATTATCTCAAAGTTGTCATTTTGTTTATAAAAAGTGTGTTCAAAACAAATTTGGAATTTTCAATCAAAAATTGGTTCAAATAGAGTAAAACCTTGAAAAAAACAAATTTTTCGGAATACTTGTGCTCAAATTCGTCCGTAGCTTCAGAAGGGAAAAATGTTCATCACAAAATGAGGAACTTGTCGCAAAAATTTGGAGTCAAATGTCAAAGTTGTGCTGGGGCAACCTGCCGGGCGCCCGCCCAGGCCAGCCCCGGATTTCAAATGTGAAAATAGACGGTTGGCGGGGCATATTCCCAGGGAATATTTGCATATTTCCTTGGGAATGTTCTGTTATTTAAATTGTATACTTTTTATTGTTATTATGTTCTCTTAAACATATCAGGGATGTGAATTGAAATTAGGGTTGTAGAACATGTAGGAAAAATAATTAAGTTGGAATATTGAATTTAATTAATTAAAATGCTAGGTTGTTAGAAATTGTTTTATTATTCTAGTTAATTAATCTGGCCAATTTATTAATTAATCTTGGAAAAATTATTATGTCCATTTGTCTATGAATGAGAAAAATAATTACGTCAACCAACTCTAGCACATTGATTATGCCTAGAGATAGGATAAATTAATGGAATAGTTGTGACAGAACTAATCACTAGCCTAATTAATTAATTAATTTAATCATCCAACTAGTTAATTTATCTAAGAAGTGTTTACAACCTGAAATCAATTCATATTCCCTTTTGTCAAACAAATCTCTACTTTGCCCTATTAAACTGAATTCAATTAAAACTTTTCGAAATTAGAAGGCTTCCAACGCCATTGAGTATACTTTTCCTAACTAGATTTTAATAGAAAATTTATTTTTACACCAATGCACGTGAATACGACACGGGAATAAATGGAGCTCTTTTAGAGTAAAATTTAGTACCCGCTAAAACTCTTTCGTCTGTATGGTAATATTGAGTATTGATCGCCTTAAGGGCACAAATGGCACAATTGGTTCCACCCAGCCAACCAGCCACCCACCCATATTATTGCAGAGATAGAGCAAAAGTTAGCAATGGATGCAAAAATGACATTTTGTGATGAACCAATTTAGTACTTTCAGGGAGAGTTCAAGGTTAAGCAAAAATACCTTCATCAAATCTCCATTTTTCTTTGTTCTTTCTTGCCTCTGAGAGCCTGCTACCTGCCACAAGCATAAAAAAAGATAGAAAATTAGCTCCGAACAAATTCTCACCCAAGATAATAACACCAAAGCCCAGCAGAGTTGTAGAGAAATTGAGGCAAACCTAAGCTCTGTGTTTGTTCTTTAAAATTCTGCTGTGCATTGATTTTCCTATTAGGTCGCTTAGGATATCCTAGCTCGACAAGGCGAACCATCTTCAGCTCTGGGAAGAAATGAAGAAAATAAACAATTACCAGCCTCTATCCATGAGTTATTTTCCTCCAATAGAAAATAAATAAAGAGCCAGACATATGAAGGATAACTACTAGATAACTTATGTGCTTCTTCTGCAGTCAAATAAGCATTAAATGTTGACAGACCAATGAACTCATGGAAGGAGCGCACTTCAAACTTGTCACTGTAGCAAGAAAACATATAGTACTAGTGAATTAGTGAACAGCACAAACATATGATCTAATAGAAGTCAGGCCAGCAACTGCTTTTGTTTACCATTTAAGGTTGAGCTCATCCAGCAGAAAAGCTATCTGTTCATCTCGCTGTTTCTTTGTTTTTATTTCTACCTGATACCACTGCAGTTGCATGATGTACAACAGTGTAATGTAGCATTCAGTAATTTTAAGTTTTGAAAACATGTCTAGCAGTACAATGAAAGAAATGAACGTGAAAATAGTGCAATATCTATTTACATAGAGGTATCAGGTCATAACTATTTAGGCTGACAAACTCAAAGCAATAACACATACACTTCTATACACGTCGTCGAGAAGAGGGTAGGGCTCATATTTGCTATAAGCAGGTTTAGAAGCCTCTCTGCAATTAGCCTCTGAAAGAATATACAAGTCCAAGAAAAGCATCAATTAACAACCAGTGATAGATAAACCACACTGAAGCATGTCTAAACCCTGAATACCCTTCACCTTTCTCCAAACACAACAAACCACCCCCGGCCCTCAACACACACACACACATGCCAGTTCCACAACATACAAGCTAGCTGAACACGATGAAGTCGAAAAAACATTGAATAACCTGGGCGGGGGAAAGCATAAAGATTAAGGAACACATAATTGAAGGAGTGAGGCATACCCGGGCTGACTTTTTGTTTCTTTGTTTTTTGTCTAGCATCGACTTTCCTTTTAATTTCATTTCTTCTGATTTTCTTTCGCTCTTCCCTAACTCGTTGTGGATAACCAGATCTTAGAGAACAGACAATACCTGAAGCTGAGGAAAAGAGAAAAACAAAAGAAATAAACATAAAAGGGTTCTTTTTTCCTAAGGGGGAATAGAGAAAGGGCCGTAGTAGAGAAGGAAACTAACCAAACAATTTAGCTGTTTCTTTTTCATTCACTAGAGCATAAAATTCAAATGGACTACTGTATTCGTGCATGGATTGGACCTCAGACTTATCACTGGTTTTTGAAACATAAATAATCATGGATTAGGAACAAAAACCAAAATACTCATTCAGATAAAAGTCAAGAAAAAGAAACAATTGGGTTTACCATTGAAGCACATCTTCCAGCAAAGCAACTTGTTCATCAGGCCCTTTCTGCACCCATAATCGTACACATAACCACTGCAGTAGCATCATATAGAGTAGTGAGATGAGATTGATTGGTGTGCATACTTTTTATGTTAAAAGATGTCAAAGGAAATTAATATGAACAAGACCATTTTCAGATGCCACTATTGTTTCTGAAAGAGAATACCGCATACTTCTCTAGCTGTGTCCCGGAGATTAGGAGATTCCCAGAAAGGCTGGACTGAAAATATAGAAATTATAAAACAATTAGCCAAAACAAAACCATCAGATTGCATAATGTGTACCGTATATTACAAGATGGGAAACAAAACGCAAGAATATTTAAGGAAACCTTGGTTTTCTAGATCTATGATAAAGTCTTGCTCCTCGGATTCCCCTTCAGATTGGGTAGTCGAGTCTGATTCAATAGCATTTGAATCAACAGAATTACCAGATTAAATCCGGAAAAAGGTTAGCCTAAAATCTATATGCACGAAGGATAATACCCGTCATACCTTTATCTTCTTGGCCTGTGTTCTTTTCCGGCTTCAATGTATCATCGGCAGTCATCTGTTTGTATGAGGTAGAAAATTATATTATTCCCAATTGAAATAATTAAGGAATTTAGGGTTTGATGACAAAACATTAAGAAAAGGGAAAGAAAACTATGGAGTAACTTCTATTGATAGAAAAGTAAGAAAACCTTCGCCAGAGATCCCATCCGAGAATCGAAACAATCGCGGACTGGACTATGAAAATAATCTGCAACCGTTCCCGCTCAATTGTAATGAGGTGCGTGTTTGTCACATTAGCAGAACATGCAGTTTTAAAAGAATACAAAATTCCTTAAAAAAAAGCATAGGAAACATTTGTTAGAATACCTCTAGTCCCTCAAATGATGCAGGCATTGTGTTCAAAGTCACTTATAACTAATCTCTTCTATAACTACATTACATAAATCCTTAAGAAACTACGAGATTTTTAGTGAGTTAAGTCTTTAAAAAAAGCAATCTTAGCTTTGTTTTTCTTACAATTTTGAACGCACAACAAACTTTTCATAAATGTAAATGTTAATACCTCTGTTCTATAACTTTTGCATATGCCGACATATATCAATACCTATGATTTCTTTAGGATTCATGTGCTTCATGCAATTTTATTAGTTTAATGTTTAAGGTGGTGAAAATAAATTAGAAGCATGCCATTAGTATTGATAATCAATTTGGCAATTTTCGTCCCTCTATTCCTCTATATACAACAGTAGCAAAAAAATCTTCTCGCTCAAATCTTTCGCACTTCAAGGGCAAAGTAGATTTTTTGCATGGAACAATTGCCTACCTGCCCACGATTGTATCCATTACTGTAGATCCACATCTCTCCACGATCATCTTCAATTCTTCTTATCTCTAAACTCACTGTTCCCCTCTCCTTCAAGAAGAACCGGAAGAAGCTCTTCGGCCCAATCAAAGAAGAATCAAAAGAAGCCTAATTGTGCATGTAATCTACAACTGTGGAGGGAGATCGGGAAAAAATAAGGTGCCTGCCTAGGGTTTATACCCTGGCTAGGTTCGACAAGAACAAATATGGCTATTAAAAGACGGAAAGGTTTGACATCTGCTTCAGAGTTTAGACAATGATGGAAAGCAGCAGCGACACGGGCTTCTAGACAGACAGTACATCTTTCGATGATGGCTGAACATGGTGGTGAGGATAGGTCTGCTTCTGATGGCTGAATGTGACGGTGATTTGGGCTTCTGGACGGAAAGGTAGTTGGATCGTGATTGTTTATTTTTTTTAAATTTATCTTTACCTTTTGGAATTTCATTATGTGTTCTGTAACATGAAATAGCTAATTCATTTCTTTGTGTTGGCCTATAGTTAGAAGATCAACTCATTGGTATTGCTCAAACGTAGGAGTTTGATGAGTTTATAGTCGGGATTCCCTTATCCTGTGTTTGGAAGAAGACTTCATAATCAAACAAAGTTCATAACTGCAGCCAACTAATCAGAGAAATTAGTGGATGCTCACCCCGAGATTAGAACTCCAAGCATTTCTCTGCTCAAAGTTCCTACACCACAGCCAAAATGCTCTATTTGGTTTGGATGAATCTCATTATGTTGTTACAACAATCACAACAGAATAAGATTATTAGTAGATGGTAACGAAAGGGAATTACAACACTGATTTTGTGACCAAACAAATTATCGCCCTTCCATGTTTTTGATTACGAAGACTTCCGCCATGGATTTATAGGGGAATGGTCTCTAGATTTTTGGCATTCACTCACTTCCCTTTCCATTATACTCCTTATTACTACCCTTTTATTGTATTGTGGCGTATTGCCTCTTGGGAGTTCTCCCATTATATTCCATTGTGGCTTACCTTTTTTATTAATAAAATTTTTTGCTTTAATAAATTCTTTATGGTGGTATATATTCTTCCTGTCCAAATAACAAAGTCACAATTTGACTTTATACATAAAAGTGGAAGTAATAGAGGTTTGTAGAAAAAAGTAGGTGAAATAAGTGGAAAAATTGTTCTCAGTACTATTTTTAGTAGTATTAGATAAATCAAATATGCAAGTCTGAATTTAATTTTGAAATATCCAAAATGAAAAATGCAATTTTAATTTTAAAATGGTGAAAAATATTTTTTAGTGATATAATATCATTTTCCCCTTAAATCACATGAGTTGCATTTGTTACATTAAAACACATAAAATCTATCAAAATGTAGAGAATATACCAAAATAAGTGTTCAATATTTTTTATTTTCAAAATAAGAGTTTGCACTGTGATAATATGACACTATATATAGACATTTCACAATACTTTTTGGTATTATATATATGCATGATTACCATTGTATATGCATTTTCACTCTTATTTTGAGAATAAAAACATGAAATTTATATTTTGATATATTTTTACGTCTCACTTTTACTTTAGTTTTTCCCATTATTTTTATCACACAAATTAGTGACATACAAAATTGGAAACAAAAATTCATTTAATTGATATTAATTTTAAAAAGTAAGGAATATAAGAGCACGATTCATACAAAAGTTACTAGTATAGTTTGAGACTAAATATAATGGCATCGAATAAAATAAAAAGAGATAAATTATTTAAAAAATAGAATATAATTTATTTAATCAAAATATAAAATAAATAAAATAAATTTTTTGTTTCATCATTTTTTACTTTTCTTCAACTCCTCTAATTTTTACTCCCTCCGTCCCCTAGTTTTTGTTCACTTTCATTTTTGCACACCATCCAATGCACTTCTTTAATCCATTTTATCTTGTAATTTGTATATTAAAAAATTATAGAAATTATATATTAATAATCTATATGTTAAGACAAATCAAACAAGATCACACATGACTATATTTAGGCAGAATATGATGAGTCAAAGTGCTTAAATGAACAGTTTCAAAAGTCAAAAGTAGACAAAAACTGGGGGACGGTGGGAGTACAACTTTTTCTATTGTTTTCAATATCCAACTCTATTTTTGAAAGGTAAACCCTCCTAAACAGTACAGAGGGCGTACATGAGGTTTTACCGGTTTTACCCAAAGAAGACAATCACTTTGGGAGCTTCTTCTTCTCTCACAGTTGTCGCCTAAACGCCTCTCCGTAGGGTTGCTGCAGATTAGATTTCCGCGGCCTCCGTCTTCTTCATCGTATAGTCTCCCTATACACACACACTGTTTCTCATCTTCCATCTCTTTGTATTTCGCCATTCCCCCCGTCTTCCGCTCTGCTCCCTGCTCTGCAACCTCCGACAATGGGCGCTTCGCTTCCTCCCAAAGAGGCCAACCTCTTCAAAGCCGTCGTTGTGAGTTTTTATTTCCTCAATACTCTCCGTCTTCGTCCCGGAGATTCGCGTTTTTTGTTGTTGTTGCTCGTTCGGATTTGTTGCGTAGTTTAATCGAGACAGTAACCCTAGATTTCATGCTTATGATTGCTCTGATCAGTCCACCTTCCGTGGTTTACTCATATGCTTCTTTGTCGTAGTTTGAGCATGAGCGGGTTGAATTTCAATTGGCTGGTTGATTTTTTGTGTGCATGTGTGAAAAAAATCAATTTTTTTTTTGATTGGAGGAGCATCAGCTGCCAGTGAGAAGAAGCGTAGCATTTTCAGTGACATAGTTAATGCCTTTCAGTGTGTGTTTAAAATGTTAGAATGGCTGTAATGAGATTACTATTCCATTTGGAGCAGTAGTGTAGTGGACAGACTTATTAAAAAAAGGGGTTAGACTTTCACATTATTTTCGCTGTACATATTCTAGAGAGGTAGCATTCTTCAGTTGTTGTTCTGATTGGTTTTACCCAGCTGGTGCTTCTGCTATGTATGTGTTTGATTAACGATTGAACTTTCACATTCAAGTTACGTGTAAAAAAAAGAATTGATCAGCAGCAGTTCATGACGCTGTAATTTTCAATCAGGAACACTAAACGCATGCAAGATGGTCTCATTGTGAGATTATAGTTGATTTTTTGTAAAAACATTTTAATCGTGACCATAAGTGAAAGCATCATTTTTTAGAAACTAATAGTATAATACTTCCACCGTCTTGTGGTAAAACTGACACTTTAATTTCATGGAGTTTAAGAGAAGTGTAGAAAAATAAAAAGTGTGGTTGAAATTTGTTTAGGAGAGAGAAATATTGTGAGCCACATAGGAAAGTAAGGAAGTATATAGTTTATTTTGGGATGCCCAATACGAAAAGTGGAAACTTTATTACGGTACTGCTACTGAGGGAGTCTGTATCACTGTATTCAACAACACAGCCTTATCTCAAGTAACTTGGGGTCAGCGTTATTAACTTTATAGTAGATTGGATATGTTTGACTTCTGAGCAAACACGTGCTATCTGGTTGTTCGACTTGTCACAAGAGATCTGTACCTTTTAAATGTAGTCCACCTAATGGAAGATTTCTTTTACCTTGATGCCTCATGAATTCTAAAGTAATGTCATCAAGGGGTTGATATTGTAAGCATTATGCTTATCAATGTTGGAGGTCTTTTTTTGTATTTGAATTTTTCATTGCATTGCACTTGCTACCTATACATTGATTTACATAACATTTTGCTGAATGTATTCCATTTGCTATGCAGAAATCATATGAGACAAAACAATATAAGAAAGGGTTAAAAGCTGCCGAGGCTATACTTAAGAAGTTTCCTAATCATGGAGGTATTTCGAATGTTATTATTGATAAGTATTTTATACGTTGTAGATTTTATGCTGGTAAATATCTACTCTTTGTGAAGTATTGGATTTTGATCATTTAGCATTCTTTGACAAATTCCTGGCAGTGTGAATTTTACTTTAAAAATCTCATCCAGTTTAGCCTTAATTGGAGTCATGATGTCATTTCCTGCATTTTATTTGTTGTTTATTTTAATATTCCCAACTTCTGCATGGCCACCAGAAACTCTTGCGATGAAAGGGTTGACATTAAATTGTATGGGCCGCAAATCAGAAGCATATGACCTTGTTCGGATAGGATTGAAGGTATACTTCAATTCTTCAGTATTACTTCTTGGAAATATACCTGCCCTAATGTCCTATTGCTTATGAAGTATGAATGGCATGATTAACTGCTCTTCTCGCTTTGCAGAATGATCTTAAGAGTCATGTTTGCTGGCACGTTTATGGTCTTCTATACAGGTCAGACAGAGAATACAGGGAAGCAATAAAGTGCTATAGAAATGCACTTAGAATTGACCCTGACAACATTGAGATATTACGGGACTTGTCTCTGTTACAGGTAAAAACTTTCACCGTTAAAGTCCTTATTTTTTCCCTTGAGTTTGCCTAAATGCCATAGATCACTAAATATGTCAAAGAGGCCAATTATGCTTGGAGACAGAATAATGCTATAACTTCCAATCATAGAAAGTATATCAAGTGTGATGAGTATTTTAAAGTTATAAATTCATCTTTTAGGACTGTTGAGATCTCGACTGTTTGATGCACAAGGACTGGATAAAGTGGAAACAAACAAAGAAAGTCAAATTTGTGGGAGATAGCGATTTTTTGTTTTTGAGTTGTTCGGTTGTTACATTGTTAACATTATGTCTATGAAAATAGTGTTGATGTGATAGAGTTTGGTTATATGCATAGTTATTGGCTTATTGTCACATGCTTATAATACTGTGCATGATCTTTTTAATACTCAAGTCCCACTATTGAACTTTAATTTACTTTCTTTATTTTATTTCCAGAGCTGTTTGTTGTTTTTTATTAAGTTAAAAATAATGTTTGCAAATCAATTTTCTCACAAACATCTCTTTTTATGATTATTATACCTTTTTCTTCTTTTCATGCCTATCATTCACTTAGATTCTTATAAGGAAATAACATTTGGGTTTCTATGCCTCAACAATCTTCGTCATGCACATTTTATTAATATTACTATACATTATGTTCATTTGTTTATTACCATTATTCTCTGTTTTCATGATGTAAATCTAATCAGGTTTTCAAGTACCACCATATATTATTGTTGTTGTTCGAGTTAACTTTATCCTATTGATTTCCACAGGCACAAATGCGTGACTTGACCGGTTTTGTTGAAACAAGACTACAACTGCTGACATTGAAGCCAAATCACCGCATGAATTGGATTGGCTTTGCTGTAGCACAACATTTAAATTCAAAGTATGATTTCCCTGTGATCTGTTGGGGTTCCATTTTACATGCTTCATATGATTCCCGCGCTTCATGTGCTTCCTTTCACTTGGTTAGGGTGCCATTTCAAATTCCAGAGTTTCACTATTCTGGAATAAGTTTAGTCTGTTGGTTACATTGAATTACTCATTCTTTCCGATTATATACACATTTACTTTACTTTTGATCGCTATACTCCCTCCTTTTCTTTTTCTCTGCCCATTTCGGTTTACGATGGAAGTCATTCTCAATTGAATTTATTTGAAAATTGGTCACCTGTGAATGGGTCAAGTAAAAAAGAATCAGAGGAAGTAATATATATAATTTCTCTATAGGAAGATTATACATTGTACAACGATGTGCTTAGTTCTTTTTCTATTTAGTAAGATGAGAAGATGGAACATCACCTGTGATTCTGTTCACGAGAATGAATTGGACTATATTTGGTGAAGCCAGTCCATTAAAATATTTTGTTTTTTTTTTCTTCAATTTTTTCCAGTGCATCAAAAGCTGTTGATATCCTTGAGGCGTATGAAGGGACTCTAGAGGATGATTACCCTCCAGAAAATGAATGCCGTGAGCATGGGGAGATGCTTTTATATAAGGTAATATTTTGAGTTACAAAGTTTCTCCACTCTTGTCAATAACTAAGCTTTGTTTTGGGTCAGTTGATGTTTTTTTCCTTTCATGAAAACTTAGAGAATTTGTTTGGTTATTTGATATATTGTTCAAAGTCTGTACCAGATGTAGTGAATCTAGTTGATTCAACTGTATATTACCTCTAGCTCAAAATGAAGTTTACAATTACTTTTAAGGGCATGATTGTGTTGTTGATATTGTTTTTTTTTTTCATTTCTTAATAAATCTCATCCACAACATTTTGAGATGGAGGGAGTGTCTTTATTTTCAAATTCATACGAGTGTTTAGCTTTTAGTCTTATGGTTGGTTAGGCTCATATGTTGAACTATGAGAGTTTAATTACAGCTGTTTCAGTTACCTGCTAGTCTGCCTAGGTATGAATGTGTTGACTTTTAATTATATGTTCAATTGATGCTTTTACCAATAATTTGATGTGGATGCAACATTTTCGGCTAGATCTCTTTATTAGAGGAAAGTGGATCTTTTGATAGAGCTCTTGAAGAATTGCACAAGAAAGAACCTAAAATCGTAAGTTTTTATCTGAAATTATTGGATACATGTAAATAAAATTTCAGTTTTGGTGGTACGTTCAGCCATTATACTTTTGAGTGTTCCTGATGCAACGAATGCCCCTTAGGTTGATAAACTGGGGTACAAAGAACAAGAAGGTCACCTTCTTTTGAAGCTTCGCCAATTCGAAGAAGGAGAAAAATTGTACACGATGTTGCTATCTATGAACCCTGATAATTATAGGTATATCGAATACCATGTTATTGCTGTTTGCAATTGGTGTTTTCTTCTCTCTGAAGCACTGCATTGTTAATGTCTTAATTATTACAGTATATAGCTTATGGTTATACTGATATACACAAATCATGTCAAGCCCCACTGCAAAACACTGCAAAATGGGTTAGCGTCTTTTATGGGAAACTATATGGCCACCTACATTTTAATATTTTGCAAGCCATTTCTACTATGTTTTCAATTGGAAAGGACCATATCACCAGTTTATAATGAAGTGCTAGTCCTTGATTTGTTAGTAAAAAAATCATCCTGTGCTCCATGATGTCTGTTTGGTGTGCAGGGGAAGGGGGGAGTAGGTTTCATTAAACACAATATGGCATTTGCATTTGAGATTGTTAAGTATATGTCTAATAGTGGTTTTGCTGTTAGATACTATGAGGGGTTACAAAGGTGTCTTGGACTTTACTCTGAAGATGCCAAATATTCTTCTGATGAAATTGATCGTTTAGCAGCTCTTTATGAATCCCTTGCACAACAGTATCATAGATCATCTGCAGTAAAGGTTGGGCTTGCGTTTCTGGACACCTCATTGCTGCCTTATAATATTTCTTCTCATGTCTCTTGATATGCTTACCAAGTTCTATTATTTTGAATGACTGATATAATAGCTTATACATGTATAATGATTGATAAGTCTTTGGACTAACATTTGAAGTTAGTAACTTTCTAACATTTACATTGTAAAACATCTGATTGTCATTTGACAAGGTTGATTACATATCAGTTTCATCACTTTCTATTTGAGAGGTGTAACAGAACATGCCAGAGTTTGTTTCACACATATATGTGTAAAATATAACCCCTTTGTTTAAGTAGAATTGACCACTTAGTCACTTACTAGAGTTTTATAATTCAGTAAATAATTGTGATATTTTCCTATTTGCAGAGAATTCCTCTTGATTTTCTGACGGGAGAAAAATTCCTGGATGCAGCAGGGAACTATATTAGACCCCTCCTGACTAAAGTAGGCAATGATTTCAGTATCTTGTTTAATGATTCATTGGAGTTTTGATCAGTCCCTCAGTGAAACTTACTTGAATTTTCTTAATGCATGTCTAGGGAGTTCCTTCATTGTTTTCTGATCTCTCCCCTCTTTATGATCACCCAGAAAAGGTCTGTAAAGATCTTATAGCTTGTTCGTATATGCACAGTTACTATGATCTTATTCAACTTCTCTTATTCTTTTAATTTTTTTTTGCAGGCAGAGATTCTAGAACAACTTGTTCTGAAGTTGGAGCACTCGGTCAGGACAAATGGTTCTTATCCTGGGAGGTAGTGCACCTTTATTTAAACAATGCACCCACGATGAAATATGCGAAGTTTTTTTCTTTTGTCGTAAGATGTGGGGTTCGTCACTTCCTCTATATTTTATTTGAAATACCACATAGTGACATTATTCTTGCAATGATTTATTTATTTACTCCGTATTAAGCACGAGGAATTTATCATGGCAATAAACTTAAAACCTATAAAAGGAGAAAGTTTGACAAAATGACCTTAAAACTTTGTGTACTGACTCCGAATTGCCAAAGTGCAATAACTCTTTTTATCTACCAATGCTCGACAAATTTGAATATTACCTAATGGCATCCCTCTTGACATGGCTCTAGATATAGGATTGAGGATACCCCCTAGTGGTAATATGGTATCATAACATATCAAGGCACTGTAAATTTCCCAATAAAGTGGCTCTGTAGCGATGTATCTGGCATGCTTCAGTTTTAGTGTAAAATTTATTGCATTAAAACTCACAGTAATGCAATTTTGTCTTAAATTCTGATTGGTGCACAGTGAGGATAAAGAACCCCCTTCAACACTTATGTGGACTTTATTTTATCTGGCTCAGGTTTGCTACTATTTTAATCTTACTAGTAATGTCTGTTGTAGGACTTGTAGCCTTCAAAAAAAATTAATGTCTGTTGTATTTGGGCTTCATTCCTTTTGTTGTGCCCCACCCCCACCCTAACTGAAATTCTTAAAGAAAATCTGATGTTGCAGCATTATGATAGACGCGGTGAGTATGATGCCGCTCTGTCAAAGATTGATGAGGCCATTGAACACACTCCAACTGTAATTGATTTATACTTGGTCAAGGTATGTTTACCCCATGTAGTTCATATGATTTTTCTCCTGCTATTTCTCCTACAGTAGTTTCTTTTTGCGTGAGTGTACTTTGTTTCGTAATGGGATGCATACTTGGACTTAATGTTGCATTAAATGTAAATGTTTCACTATTGCTTTTGTTTATAGATCACATTTCATCATGAAACTGATTCTAAATTGATCTTGTGCTTTAGATTGTTTTTTATCATATAACACTATTTGAATGCGGTTAAGGGATATTCTCACTGCATTAACATAACTTGGAGAAGCAAAACTTTGTCCAAAGTTGTGCTTAGAACTCATTTTTGGCAAAAAATGCTTTAAATATTAAATATTTTAAGGCTACAACTCTCTACTTTCCAGCTTCTAGTTCAGGAGTTCCTCATTATATCTATGCTGTTTTCTCTTCAGAGCCGCATATTAAAGCATGCTGGTGACATTCCAGCAGCAGCTGCATTGGCTGATGAAGCTAGGTGTATGGATCTTGCAGATCGTTATCTTAATAGTGAATGTGTGAAGCGTATGTTGCAGGCTGATCAGGTTATTACATTTAAGAATATATTTATCCCAGCTGCAGAACTTCCATGTGTAATACTGTAATCTGACATTAGTGTTATTCCTGTGATTGAATATGCTTTCTCTCTGTGAATTTATTTGAAGGTTGCTTTCGCTGAAAAGACAGCAGTATTGTTCACAAAAGATGGGGATCAGCATAATAATCTTTATGATATGCAGTGCATGTGGTATGCTCTAATTTTCTTGAAATGCGATCACAAATTTTGTTATGTTCAGTTTGGATGAAGTATTCAGAATAGTTTTAGAGCGAGAGGCTTTGCAGGGCTTAGTCTATAACTTTATAAACATAATATGTCTAAAAATGAATAATGGGCAATTGAAATGTTATAGCCATGTGTTCCCCCGGCTCCTATAACACACACACACACACAAAGCCATACAAACTGGGTCTCCTGTTATGTAATTTTGTTTCAGTCTCACAGCTACTGTGTTTCAAACTTTTTCAAGGTATGAAATAGCATCTGGGGAAAGCTATCTGCGGCAAGGGGATCTTGGGCGAGCTTTGAAGAAATTCTTAGCTGTGGAAAAACATTATTCTGATATCACTGAGGACCAATTTGATTTCCATTCATATTGCTTAAGAAAAATGACACTTAGAACATATGTGGAAATGCTGAAGCTTCAAGACAGGCTCCATTCATATGCTTATTTTCGTAAAGCCGCTGCAGGTGCCATAAGGTAGATGCTTTTGTTTTGCTTTGTAGTCTGAGCATTTGATGTGAATATAGTGTTTTACCAGCTTTCTGTTGTATGAAATTAATTATTCTGCTTTTAGATATAATAATTCCGTCTTCGTGGTTGTGGAATACACTGGGTTTATTGTTATTGCAATTCTGTCTTTGAAATTCTTTTCCTAAAATGCAATTTTTTTTAATATTTGCTCAGATGCTACTTGAGGCTGTATGATTCTCCTTCAAAGTCAGCATATGAAGAGGATAATGAAATGTCAAAGCTCCCATCAGCTCAGAAAAAAAAATTAAGACAAAAACAAAGGAAAGCCGAAGCCCGAGCTAAGAAAGTAATTACGTTGGCTCCCTATTAGTTTTGACACCATTAAGTAGTTTCCAATTAATCACTTTTAATGCTTTTAGGAGGCAGAGGTGAAAAGCGAGGAATCTTGTGCATCAGGTGTATCTAAGTTAGGAAAACGTCAGGTGAAAGCAGTTGATCCTGATCCAAATGGAGACCAATTGTTGCAGGTGGGCTATTGTGTCATTGTTTTTTGTTTAAACCAATTTGCTTATAATTGGATTATCGCATCTTCATCTTTATTCTTTGCTGGATGAGATCTTTGACACCTTGGAGCCTTTGCTGTGTGCAGGTTGAGGATCCTCTGGTGGAAGCAACAAAGTACTTGAAGCTTCTGCAAAAACATTCTCCCGATTCGTTGGAAACACATTTGCTTTCATATGAAGTAAACATAAGGAAACAGAAAATTTTGCTTGCTTTGCAGGTAGGTTTACTTTCATATTTTATAATTCCCGTTTGCTTCATGTTTTTATATATTTGTTGATCATTTGTTATTCAACTCATCACTTACCTCTTTAGGTGGAAGATTCATTTCTAGTTTCTTACATATTAAACTTTCAATAATATTTGTATATTTAAGTGTGACCACAAATGTAGTCTTTGTCTAATCATTTTTCTTGGATCAATCATATGAAGAATTGTAGATCCCTCCTGTCAATAAGTTAATTGGCTAATCATTTGGTTGTGCAGGCTGTAAAACATCTAGTACGGTTGGATGCTGATAGTCCTGATTCACATCGTTGCCTGGTAAATTGTTTCTATTTCAACAAGTTGCATATTGTTCTATTTTGTGGCAGTAATTGTGACAGTGTTATTTCTTGTAGATAAAATTCTTCCATAAGGCAGGGTCTTTGTCAATTCCAGTTACTGATGCTGAGAAACTTGTATGTGAGGTCTTGGAAGCAGAGCGACTAACCTTTAGGTTCTCTCATCTTTTGCACTGAGTTTAAATTCTTTAGTGAAAGCTTATTGCTATATTTACGTACTAGATATTTGATTGGAATTAATGCAGCACACAATTGCTCTTCCCATTTTGTTTTCACATGAGAATCAAGGAGGCGAAATCATGTTGTTGAGATTTGTTAAGAAAAAAATCAATGGCAACCACACATTTTTTTGCTTAAAAAGGAAAGGGAAAAACTTTTTGGGATGGAAAATAAAAGGGAAGTGGGAAAAACATTTACAGTGTTTGGTTCAAGGAATTTGAAAGGGAAAAGAAAAGAAAATGAAGTAGAAAGCAGTTTTTCTTGTTTGATTAAAGAGGAAAAGAAAGGAAAAGTGTAAGGAAAAGAAAATGAGAAGGCAAAATGTACTAAGTAGATGGAAAACCAAAATCCTCCCATTTTCCTTCAAAATCATTTTCTTTTCTTTTCCTTTCAAATTCCTTGAACCAAACATAGTGTTCGAGATGGGGTAAGAGTGCTGGGCTAAAAATTTATCGCTTGTGGAAATTGAGCAATTCGGAAACCTTTTGCAAAGTGATACTCTGTCGTTTTAGACTTTTAGCCCAAAAATATTAATCCCTCCGTCACTTTTTTTAAACAGTATTCTCTTTTACTATTCCCATTTTCAAATTATATTCTTTTTCTTAACATTTTTCATTAATAATTTGATAAAATAATATAGTCATGTCGCCTCTTGTGTTGTAGAAGTTTTGATGTAGTGTGTGTGTGTGTGTATATATATATATATATATATATATATATATATATATATATAACAATTACACCAATATGTAAATAAATTGAAATTGTAAGATTATTTAAGGATGGAGGGAGTAGTTCAGAGCTGAAAATTTATACTAGGTCACTCACGCTTCCCCGTTCCCCCACCTTCTTGGCTTGACAGATTGTTGAGGAAACTAGGAGACACAGAGACATCAACATTCTAATATTTTTTGGTTTGACCAGTACACGAGGAATTTCACTAAATAAATAAAACCATAAATGAGAAATGCAGAATAAGTTAAGACAGTTCAAGTAGGAAAGTAAGGAAATGTAAACTTTATTTCGGGACAACCTGGAAGTGTAAAATTTATTTTAGGATGGAGCGAGTCATTGTTTCGGCTAACAAGTGTTTCTCTATTTTTGTCTTACTGCTGCATAGAGTGATTCCTCCACCCTCCATATTTCAATTTATATGAAAAATGTGTAACCATGTGTGGTCTATCACTCTCTATTTTTTTTATCTGCTCATCCTCGGCTATGTATCCCCCATGATTTTTTGCAGCCAGCTGCAAGGGAAGACTCTAATTGATGCAAACAGAACATTCCTTGAAAAACATAAAGGTAACTACTCTTTTGCTAGGTCTGATACTCTCTCATCATCATCACCACCTTAATTGCAACTATATCGGGATCATTTACAAGAAATTTATTGTCAAATCTAAAATTATGGAACACTAACTAAATGCAAAAACAAGGATGTATGGTAACTCTTTGTCCCAAAAAATGAATTTCCAAAAGTTTCATGTGCTTTTGTTTTTTATCTGGTACTCACTTAGAAATGGTCTCTCTACTTCCAAGTAGGTTTAAGGTTTGCATTCACACGCCTCTCTAGACCCTACTGTAGTGGGACTTAAGTGGATTTGTCGTATTCATGTTACGATTGTTAGCAATACTTGTGCAAATCTGCCCACTACAAGCGAGACTAGCGTGCACATGTGTGTGCATTGTAGCTCAGTTGCGTGTCATTACTTTTAGCCCTTTAAGTTATCATAAAATGACAATTTGATGGTTTTGGTTCTTTACAGATTCATTGATTCATAGGACTGCTGTAGCAGAGTCGCTGCATGTTCTTGAGCCAAACAAGAAGGCAGATGCAGTTAAATTAATTGAAGATTCTGCAATGGGCCCAATTTCAATGTAAGAGCTACTGACATTCGTTTTATTTATACGATGGTTAAACCTCATCCCAATAATTTTCATATCGTCCACTTCCCAAAGTAGAAATGGAGCACACAGGTCATCAAGAAGCTGGATGCTCAAGGACTGCATTGCTGTGCACAAATGTCTAGATACAAATTTGGATGATCGTGATGCGGCATTGAGTAAATCCTTTTCTGCATCATACTGTTCATACATCATCATGTTGTCTTCTCTTATATCCAATACTCCCTCCGTCCCATTGATTTCTTTACAATGCGGTTTAAGATGCTCGAATGATGTTATTTTCAAATCATTTTATTTAAACATTGGGGTAGAATAATAATAAAATTTTTATATTTTAAAATTACATCAAAAGATTTACGGAGTATAAAACAAGAGTATAAAACAAGAGGTGACAATACATGACTATATTATTTTTTTAAATGGTGGATGAAAATAAGTAAAGAAAGAAAAAATTGTTTGATTATGTGAATAGTATTTGTAAAGAATCCATCAAGACGGAGGGAGTAGTAACTAATATGGAAGTTCAAATTTGATCTAAGAGTATCTTTAAAAGGAAAGTGAGAACTTGATTGAAAGACAAAGTGAGTAACACTTCAGTCTAATATCTTATTGTTGAAAAGCTCCATTCCTTTTCAAGAAAAGAAATGATTTTGTTCAACTCCCATATTGTTTTGTACAACTTTCCAACTGGTCCCACCGAGTTTGTGAAATCTACAAACACGGCCCTCGTTCTCATTTCTTTAAACGAGAACAAAAGATGATCCCCTCTGTTAACTCTAGTTTGTAACAAGCCTAATATTGCAGGATGGAAGGAACGTTGTGCCGAGTACTTCCCATATTCTACCTACTTTGGAGGGTCTCGCAGCTCAGTTACTACTGGACATCTTACACGACAAACTCCAGAAAATGGGGCAGCTGCCCTAAATGCTGACCTAAAAGCGGGGCACCTTCCTTCAAATGGAATATTACAGAATCTTGATGGTCTCAAGGATCTTGTCATCTAATTTAATCACATACGTCTCGACCTCTGAGATAACTCGTGGGACAAAGCGAGGAGGAGCACAAGGCTGAAGGTATAAGAAAAAGACCTGAATCTAAGACCCTTTGGTACCCTATAGAAATTGAAAGTTTTCCCATGATCTTAAGGAGTTTTGGGACTCCATTTTTTTGGTTTTATCTGCTGTTCTCCGTCGATCCGGGTTCCTTTTTCCCCCTCTTTTTGACTGTGTATATATATGCTCCAGCATGCAGAGAGTAGTTGCATTATTTAGTTAGTGAAAATGCTGGAAAACATATTTTCCTTGGCAACATTTTGGGACAAGCAAAAGGGCATTTTCTCTGAAGTGTAGGGGCAGATGCCCTAAGAGATTAAGAGCAAATGCTCATAGCCAGGCATCCTCTGGAGCATTTTGTAATTTTTTATTTAAAAAAAAAATTCAGCTGGGCATATTATTTGGTGTGCTAGACAGTAATACAGTATTATTTCTGGATTTTCCCCCCTTCATTATCATCTGTATGAGGAAAAGTGCAGTAGTTACTTGATGTCTGGTATCAAGAATGTAGAATAAGATTGGTTTATAGAGTATTTGGTGAACAGTTTAAAAATTGAGATTAGTTGTATATTTGCTCGAAAATTTAAAATTTACGGAGTACTCCGTAGATTCTATTATGTCAATTGAACGACGTGAATTTTCAAAATCCCATTCTCAGATTTCGAAATTCAAACGATTTTTCCAAAATCATAAAAAATGTTAATATTGAGTTGATTTTAGAATCAGGGTACATTTTTGGCTGAATAATGAATTTATTGAAGTATTTAGGGATATTAATTGCTTAGATTAAAATGTCTTACCTTTTTAAACGAGCATGTTAAAAATGCTTCCATCTTAATAACTCCTTCCGTCTGAAAATGTTTTTCATATTTGACTTTTTGTGGTCAAAGTTTGTAAATATAGATTTTAATGATCAAAGTGCAATATTGGAGACCGTAAAAAAATCAAATAGAAAGAACATTTTCGGACGGAGAGAGTAACTTATTACTCACTTTACGAGTATTTATCACTAATATGAATTGTGAATGGTTATTTTTGATAGAACTGAACAAATAAATTCGAATAAAAGGAATTTACAAAATGTTTGTCCGTAAAAATAGTCAAAGTGTAAACAAAAAAGAAAAAAAAAATCACACGTAAGATTTGTATGTGAAAATTTTAGAGGTTTTTTTGTCCATAAACTTTTTCTTTAGGTACAATGGGGATAAATTTTGATTTGAAAATAAGATCAGTTAGACATAATAACACGTGGATAAAAAACAATGGGACGATGGCTGGATGGGTTTACTTTTACATAGGTAATTCTTATATGAATGGCTAGGTTATCTTGACACTCAAATTAGTATTAATGGATAATATTGGCTCTAATTAAAGTACCTACGATATTTTGTTTGTAAATTTTACTCCTCTAACCTCTATAACCCACCCTCCAGCCTGAACCCACTGCTCAACTTCTTTCAATTTCATCTCCAAAGTTTTGGTAACTTTAGAGCAGAAATAGGACTTGGAGGTGGGCTTGGGAGAGGTTAGAATACCCGAACACCGTTTGTGCCTCAAAACCAGAGTAGCACCGTAGTGTCAACTGGGGCCATTGTCAACGAAATCCTCCAATGAGCAAAACATGGGCGTTCTCATATAAGCAATAAATTATTGTATGAAAATCCATTTATTAGAATACTTCTATGATGGACTTAGGGTCTACATAATACGGAGCATTTTTGAACCTTCTCACAATATGGATTCGCTTCATTATATTTTACTGTAAGTTTTTTTCAAACAGCTCTCTTCTCGATTTTGAGACCATTTCATTCTTCAAGATTTCAAGACCATTTGGACGTTAATGTATTTGTTGGTGTAGATTAAATAAACCCAATGGGAGTTAGGATGGGATATATGGGTGGATGATGGATCCTCAACACCAGGCAAAAGAGGACTACATATATATTGTCAATGCCCAAACACTTTTATTCATGAATTGAATTGAATGAAACATAATGTAGTATATAGTACAGTGCAGTACTTTGATTATTGGTCGGTTGGCATTGGTTGTGTTTAATGTAGGCCTCCCTATGTCTCTAACTTGTTACAAAATTCGGATGAAAGTGAAGAGTCACACCGGTCGAATCGAGAATCAGACACGAAATTGAGCCACCAGGCCTTTAATAAAATTATATTTCTCATTCAAGAATAAATTATATGGTTTATGTTTTTTCTCTTTTACATAAATTTTAATTAAATAATTTTATTTTATTTTACCCTAATGAAAGTTTAAGTTGAAACGTAAATATATGACAAAAGAAATACAAAAAGATGGATTTAAGATTGTCCCAAATTTATTAAAACCATATCAGACTGGTCCGTTGAGCCGGTCGAACTAGAAACCCAACCGGTTTGTTTTGACCGTTCAAAAACTCTGAAAAACACATATTGACCTAACAAAATATTTGAGTTGCGCCGGTTCTTTGGCTAATCCGAGTTTAAAACAATAGCTCCGTATAAAACAGATTTAAAAAAAAGTTGAACTTCAACTCCGAGGGTCCCCCCAATCCAAATAGTACGTTGTTAGAAGATAAATCGAGCTAGAAAAAAAAGTGCAAAGTAAATCCCGAAGAATTCTACCTGTGTATAACGTCAATCTTTATTCTCATTGTCGAGAATCGAACCCAAATTTACCTCCCTCTAACCTATGCGTGGGACACATGTCCGTAAAAAAAAGATGAGATCACATGGAATGTCTTTGGGGCAAACAAATCACACGGCCAGCAAGGAATCCTACGAAACTCAAAGGAAATGGGGCTATTATTATTATTATTATTATTATTATTTGATAGATATGTGTGCCCACAAATATACCATATATTCTCCATATACATTTCCTATCTTGTCACTTAGGTATACATATACTCTATAGTCAAAAAGTTTTTGTACTCTCTCTCATACAAAATTTAAACTCTGGAATTTTTCCAGTTTAATTTCTTGAAATCAAATCTGAAGAACTTTAATCATTAATTACACTAAATTTACATTTAAAATTATGTCTCAGTTTTAACATATTTTTTTAGATTTTACAATATCAAACTAAGTTTAAAAAATATCTAAGTGAAACTAGTACATTCTCAATGTATCAAAATCAGACATTGAACATCTTTCTGACATGAGTGGTAGGAAGCTCACTCTCTAGGATTCATGGGGAAGTTCACCCAAGTTTGAACTCCAGCGGAGGCGGAGATTCTTTATGCGTCATTAGGTTGAGAAATGTATGAACAGATGTTATATTGTAATCGAGTCAATATCATTAAAAGAATTAAACATTTAATGTTTTTATAATAAAATGTTCCCTTATGTTTCGAATAACGTTTAAAATTTCATCATCTTTAAAATGGTTGTGTTTACAAATTTGAATAGAAATAAGAAGTACAACTTAAATATTTAAAAATTAAATCAAATGTTCTGCCAAGCAAGTGATGAAAATAATATTTTATTTTATCAAATATCATTGAAAAATCACTCAAATAAAAGTTATGACAAACAAGAATTCTTTTACCAAGAGAGTATAACTTAAAATGTCAAAACATAATGACAAAATACTACTCCCTCCGTCCCATTTTATAACGCCTGTTTCGGTTTATGATGTTTGACTGAAGTTATTTTCAAATCATTTTATATGAAAAATGGTATACCGTTAAAAAATAAAAATTACATATCAAAATACTACATCAAAAGATCTACAAAACTAATAGTGACAACAATATTTTATTTTATCAAATTACTAACACATAATACAAACACATAATACAAGTTGTGAAAATTTTACGGCACCAACATTAATATTTAGAGGATAAATACAAGCTAGCCATTTTCCAGCATATTTTTCCAATTTTATTTTTTGAGTCAAATTAGAGAATATTATTACAAAAATAATTTTATTAAATTTATCATATAGAAAATTTCCAAATATTTATTTATTTATTTTATATTTATGTGAATATAAATTCAAAATTAGAGTAATTCATATTTAAAATTACATGTTTTAATTTTATTAAAAAATTCAATTGGGAAATAGAAGTCATGGGAGTGTGTACACATAGTTGGTGTACGTAAACAAACACGACCCTATGGTTGACAGATCGCTGTTTTCTCGGCCCATTCCCACCCTAGCAGGGCCCTAGTACCCGTCCAAGATGGGACATGTTTGGGAAGTATTCTTTTACATAGTATTTCAAATAATTTACTCGCATAGGTGGTGGGCGTTACAAAGTTGGCAAATGCAAAAATGCACAAGAGGTATGCTTGAATTTGATTCTTGGTGACTATGCTGGAAGGTAATTGTGTGCTAAACATAGGGCCTCTGCAAGTACCACGTACAAGTTCCACTCCTTACGATTAAAGTCCAATTTACTTCTTCTCAGTGGCTTTCCAGCTGGGTCTGAAGGGACCCTCGGAGATGGTGCTTATCTTCTTTTTTCCAAAAGGAGATCCAAAATTTTTACTATACCCTATATAATAATTAGGGCTATAATGGATAACCGAAAATTTGATTATCGGTCGTACCAGTTTACACGCAAAATATCCGCATTCGTGAAGCGGTTATTATTCTTATCCGATTGGTAAACGGATACGGATTTAATACTCATACATCTGATCCGTTTATAATCCGTTCCACGAATGTTGCACATATACATTCATTTGAGTAACCGTTTAATCATCTGATCTGTTATCCGTAATTTTTCCCAAATTTTTATTTTTATATTTTATTTTTCTATTAACATCTCAAAATACAAGACATCTTTATATTTAAAATATATATGTAGAAGCATAAATACGCGTGTGTTTATTATCCAATACTCTTTACCACATGAGGTTTCCATAAAATGGTATAGATTACAAAAAATAAGAAAAATTCTACTCTGTAACAAATTATAATTGATTGAATATTATACACACACACACAACTCCATATATAATTTAATTTGACTTTGAAAATTTGGAAACAGATGCGGATATATCCGATATCCGACCGATATCTGACAAATATGGATACAGTTTAATATTTAGCATCCGTCAAGATCAGTTTCCGAATTTGATATCCGATAAAAATAGATGGATACGAATTTGGTAATGACACATACGATTCGATAAATATCCGTTTACATCACTAATAATAATATAGCAAGTTTTTTAGCACCTTATATAATTATATATCGAGTTATTTTCTTTAATAAATAAGTTGTTGTTGTTATTATTATTATTATTATTATTATTATTATTACTATTATTATTATTTAGTAATGCACATTTGCTTTTAAGTTTCCTATACAAGAGGGGCCCGATTTTTCTAATTGACCTATGATTTATAAAACATCAGAGACTGCACCACTAAGAAAAAATCAAGAATACGAGTAAAACTAATGTATTAAAAATAAAAGTTTAATATCCGGAAGAGTAGTGACTCACAAGCTACAACAACCTTTTTCATACATGTTGGGATATATTAGATAAGTTCCATTTTTTCCTTCATTTTCTTGCTTGAATTCTGTCAAGGAATTCACCACACCTGAAAATTCCAACACGGTATCAGAGCATTATTAAGACCAGATTTGTGTCTATCATCTTGTTGTTCTTCATTTTTGGGGAGAATCTCTAACTCAATTACCACCATTACCCCTTCACCACACATATGTTCAGGGGCTCTAAATGTACAATGTTTCCAATATGAATGAACCGAGAAGTTATGAGAAAGCCAAGTCATACCTAGCATGGTAGCATTCAATGGAACTAGAATTCCAAGCATTGAAGACAACATGCACTTGGTAATTATGTGAATTACCCAAGGATAAAAAGCATGTTAGTAGTAAATAGGTTTATAAACTCAAATTCAAATGTGATGGCTCTCTTGAAAGACATAAAGGAAATATGATCATTAGAGGGTGTACCAAAAAAAGTAGGGATAGATTTTCATGAAACTTTCTCTCTTATTCTTAAAATGACTACTATCAGGGCGTTATTAGCTATAGTTGTTAAACATCATTGGCCCATTTTTCAAGTAGATGTGAACAATGCCTTCTTACATAGAGATTTACATGAATACATCTACATGAAACTTTGTGCATGACTCTTCCCTGTCATAAACTCGTCCTCAAACTTAGAAAGTTGTGGTATGGTCACAAACAAGCTTCACGATAGTGGTATGCAAAATTGAGTACCACTTTTCGAACCAAAGGGTACCACTCTTCTAAGAATGATTACTCTCTTTTAAGGAAAATAGGTTCTTCTGTCATCCCTCTTGCAGTTTATGTTGATGACATACTAGTCACTGAAAATGATGTTGCTCAGATCACAACTTTAAAGACTTACTTAAATGATACTTTCAAAATCAAGGATTTGGGGAAGCTGGGATATTTTTAAGGTTCGAAAGCTATTTATGAAGGGCATAACCTGATCCTCACTTAACATAAGTTCACTATAGATCAACTCAATACTTTCAATTGTCCTCCTTCTTCACATGTTATTGTCCTCTAGCAACTCTTCGACATACGACTCTTTATAGATGTCTTGTGGGTAAGGTTTTTTTAAACTCACACGAGACCTAACATTGCATACACAGTCTAGTTCTTGAGCCAGTTCATGCAAGATCCTCGATCGTATTCTTCATTGGGAAACAACTCACCACACTTTGAGGTACTTAAATTCACACAGTTAATGCTTCCTTTGTTTTCAGTCACAACTTATAAGCTTATTGTGATATAGACTAGGCTACCTACCCCAATACACGTCGCTCTATGAGTGGATACTTCATCCTTTTAGGTTGCACTCCTATCTCATGGAAATCTAAGAAACAAGCCACTGTTTCTCTCAGTTCAGCTAAAGCTGAATATCGCTCCATTCGTAGAGTCAATGATGAACTAGCTTGACTTTCTCGCCTCTTTTCTGATTTTGGTGTTCCTAACATTACCCTTATCCCTTTCCGTTATGAAAGTAAAGAAACTATTTATATAGCTACTAATCATGTGTACCATGAATGCACTAAACACATTGAATTGGACAACCATTTCGTTTAAGAAAAGCTTTAGGATGGGCTCATTACTCTGAGTCATCTTTCTAGTTCTGCCCCAGTTACTGATCTCTTCACCGAGAGTCTTCCTAGTGTTGTACATCATAACCTTGTTTCCAAGTGTGAGGTTCTAGCACCCTCCAACTTGGAGGGGGGGGGTGTTTGGATAGAATAGATCAGTTCTATTTTTTATTAGTTTGTTACTTTTTAGTTAGTGATGTGGCTCTTCTTCAATTCCTCATTGTATATATACTTTATGTTGCTTCATTTTAAGCTTTATAATTTTTAGATATCAATAAAGGATTTTCTTTTTTCTTCACCTTCTTCCTTCAATTCTATCAATAAATTCATCACATTTGAGAATCCCAACAATACATAGTAAGAGTATGGGCAAAAACATTTGATAAACGCCGAACAAATGAAACTCAAGCAAAACAAAATACTCTCAAAAGAGTCTTAGGGCATCCTCAATGAGGTATTATTTATTAACATACGCTTGTTTTTTTAAGTTTTTTTAATATAAGACTTAAGAGGGGCCCTATTTTTCTAATTGACCTTTGACTTATAAAATGTCAGCACTACTACGAAAAAATTTAAAATACAGGTAAAGTTAATGTATTAAAAACAAAAGTATAAAGTTCAGAAGACTAGTAACTCACGAGCCACAACATCCTTTTCCTAACATAGCAAGAGTATGAGCAAAAATATTTCAAGAACACCAAACAAAAGACTCTCGAAAGAGCCTTACAATCAAAACCAAGGAGTTTTAAAATATAAAGAGTACTCCCTCCGTCCATGAGTATTTGTCTTACTTTTGATTTTTTTGGTCAAAATTAGTAAGCTTTAACCTGAAATTAATTAAAAATGATATTAGATATTGATACAAATTAGTTTTTTTAGATTTATTATATTTAATATTTTTAAAATATTATTTTATCTGATTAATACTCCCTCCGTCCCTAAATAGATTACAATTTTTTCTCTCTCTCCTCTCGATAACTTTTGTTTGTTTACGCGATTTCATTAAATATTTGATAAAATAAAATATTCTTGTTACCTCTTGTTTTGTAGAACTTTTGACGTAGTTTTTTAATATGTAATTTTTATATCTTATTGATATACCAATTTGTAAATAAATTGATTTCAAAAAGTAGGAAATTTTACTCCGTAACCCGCAATTTGTAATCAAATTGGGGACGGAGGGAATATACAAAATACTACATATATTTTATTCAATATAGATCAAAAGTTAAAAACAAGTAATCGAAAAAATTAAAATTAGATAAATATTCAGAGACGGAGGTAATATGAAAATAGTTCTTTCCCACAAGGAATTTACCCAATTACCCCTATCATAATTCTTTCTTTTTTTAAATTAGGTCCAAATTATACTCCCTTCGTCCCTAAATATTTGCCACACTTGTATTTCCGAGGCAAAATATCAAGTTTTTTCAATTCATTTTATTTACATATTGGTATAGAAATAAAAAATAAAATTTACATATAAAAAAATTATATGAAAAGTTCTTTGAAATAAGAGGTGTCAAGAATATTTTATTTTATCAAATAACCAATGAAAACGTAGAAATAAATAAAAGTTCCCGCGACTGCTGAAAAAGCAAATGTTGCAAATAATTTGGGAAGGAGGGAGTATGAGAAGTACTCTGCTCTGGCCAGCAGACAGAGACAGGGCCACCATTGTTTCTCATCTCACCAACCTCTCATCTGCCATTGCTACACTTCATTCTTTCTTCCAATACTTCTTTATAAATAAACTCCCATCTTTTTTTAATTTATTTTATTTATAATTCATTACACAAATAATAATCCCCAGCTTTTAATTTCTTGATTGGTGAAAAAAACCCATTTTTTTAAAAAAATTTAAAAAAGGAATCGATCTATGGGTAGCATTGGGTTAGGGCTGGAAATCACCGAGCTCCGGTTGGGTCTGCCGGGGACCGGCGACAAGAAACGGCCGTTCTCGGAGGCGGACAATGACCGGAACAGTAGCAACAATAACGGAGGAGAGGGACGGCGGGGTAACGACGGTAACGGCAGCAATAAGGCCCGGAACACGAGCCGGGTCGTGGGTTGGCCGCCGGTTTGCTCGTACCGAAGGAAGCAAAACGACGCCGTCGTGGACAGCCAGAAGGCGTACGTTAAGGTTAGCATGGACGGCGCGCCGTTCTTGCGGAAGGTTGACCTCGCCGCTCACGACGGCTACTCCGCCCTCGTCGCCGCCCTCCACCGCCTCTTTCACCTCCCCGGCATCGGTATGTTCTTAAACTACCTTCCAAATTTATTCACTCCCTATTTTACTGTAGTAATTTATTACAGAATATTCGTGAATTTACTTTGAATAAGTTAAAATTACTTGTTGTAATCACATAATTTTTTCAAAACGAAAAATCTAAACTCTAAAATTATTGTTAAAGGAACAATTAGTCCCCGAAAAAAATCTATAAATTTTTAATTGTGTTAAAAGATGAAAAAAATGTAAAAGTATGAGTAGATATGTAATTTGTGAGAAGTATTGTTTACAATGTATGAAAAATGAGTAATTTTTTTGGGACACAAGGGTATTGTTAGAGTAAATTAATTCAGTGATCTTCAATTACAAAATTTGATATTTTGGTTGAATTGATTTTTTAAGAATTGCAAACTGCATTTTGCTCTTAAAATGATGATATTAAATTTATACTACTATTACAATTACTCTCATTTTTAAGGAACGTGTTCAAAATGTCAAATATGTCTTTCAATTCAACAATACTCACTCATATCACATTATTACCATATCTTACAAAAATGGACAACTAATTACAAAACAGAAATAAACATAAGAAAGTAAACAACTAATTTGGGATACATTGAAGAATTCCAAATATTTTTTAAAATTTAAATTGGGGTTAATAATGGTACTTGACATTCTAATTATTTCTGAAAATGTTAAAAATAATATGCAGGGGAAGAGTTGAAAGATGGAGAGAGTTCAGGAGAGTATGCTCCAATATATGAGGACAAAGATGGTGACTGGATGCTCCTTGGAGATGTTCCATGGGGGTAAATATTTATTTATTTATTTATTTATTTTATTTATTTAAAATATTGTTCTGCAATTGGATACTATAAATATGTGTGTGTTTTTTAAATAATTTAGGATGTTTATTGAGTCTTGCAAGAGATTAAGGATCATGAAGAAATCAGAAGCAAAGGGTTTTGGGCTTGATGCAAAGAATTCCTTCAATGAGATGTCAAAAGAAGGATGAATAATGATAATATATATCTATTCCACAACTCTTTATAATGAATGTATTTAATTTTAATTCTCATTCATATTTGTTTAATTCTCATTTGCTACAAAAACATAAATGAACTTGTGTGTTGTGATACTCATTCTCTTGCAAATCAACTTTCATGTTTTACTTTTCTTGAAGATTGATCATAATATGCAGCAAATCAATATATACACATTGAGTTGTATGGTGAATTTATTAATTCTATATCATTTGTTTTGCTTTGAAATGCCATCTTTTATGTATAGTAAATTTATTTATATATAAATATAATACACAGTATTAATGGTCAATGGTTGAATATATTGTAATCTGAGAGCATGAAAGATCATTGGAGTAACAACTAGCAATATACTCCCTCCGTTCCACAAAACCCTTCCCCTTTCGTTTTTTTAAATTCCCTAAAACACTTTCACTTTCTATTAAAAAACCACTTTTACCCTTACTTTTTCATACCCTACCTATCACATCATACTTTTTCCCTAATGACCAAACTATCATATCTTACTTTTACCCATCACATCAGGGGCAAAATTGGAAAGTCAACCAAAATTACACTTTCCTTGTTTTTGCCAAAAGTCAAAAGTGGAAGTGTTTAAAGGAACGGAAGGAGTACAAAAATAATAAAATCTTATCCCACTAGGTGAGTTTTGCGCCTCATCAACTATCATATATATATATATATGAGTAAATTCCATAAAAGGTCCCCAATTATAGGTCGTTTTACATATTTAGTTCCTACATATCAAATATTACTAATTTAGCCTCCAATTATTTTATTCATTTCCACGAATGGTCCTTTGTTAACATTTTCGTTAAGAACCTGGATAAAATTGTAAATTCACACTCCTTTCTCTCCTCAATTAAGCTTCCTCCCTCCCCTCGCACTCCTTTCCCAAACCCGTCGCTTAGTTTGAAGCTTTGAACTAAAAACTGAAATCATCACTCTTCTCTCAATTGTTTGTCTAACTGGAGGAACCCAAAATTGAAACCAGTAACCTTCATGGATGAGTTTTAATGTTTATTTTGTTTGCAATTTTTTGAGACTAACCGATAAAACTCATCCATAAAGCTTATTGGTTTTTATTTTAGGTTCCACCTGGAAGACTAATAATTGAGAGAGGAATGATTATTTCAGTTTTGGGTTTAGAGCTTAAAACTCAGCGACGGGTTTGGGAAAGAGTACGAGAGGAGGGAGAAAGCTTATTCAGGAGAGAGAGAAGTATGAATATACAATTTTATCTATGTTCTTAACAAAAACGTTAACAAAGGACCATTCGTGAAAAATGATATAATAATTAGGGACTAAATTAGTAATATTTGATATGTAGGGACTAAATATGTAAAACGACCTATAACTGGGGACCTTTTATGGAATTTACTATATATATATATATATATATATATATATATATATATATATATATATATATATATATATATATATGCATTAAGATCATTCATGTAAAATTCTCACTTGATCAATCTTCTCCACATATATTCTATTTGTCTTCTTTCCCCATATCCAAACTATCAAAGACGAGTTTTTTCCTTTTTTTTTCTACAATGGATGTCACTCCAACTTTAGCTTTCATAATTTCATTCATTATTCAATCTATGCGTCTGTGACCGCTCATCTAACGAAGTATCTTCATTTTTGCCACACTCACATTGTATTCATGCATGTTCACCTTTTGCTCTCCAATACTATATTCGATACAATATAACTGGTCTAACCGCACTACGGTAAAATTTTCTCTTTAGTTTTAATAATACGGAGTATTTTTTGTCACTTATAAAGCCCAAAGCACTTTACCATTTTGACAAATCGACATGAATCCTATGGTCAACATCATCTTCTATTTCGCCTATACCCCCAAGATATTTAAATTTCTTTGTGTTTAACAACTAGCAATATACTCCATTAGATTAGTTCCTACCTCTCTAACCTCCATCCCGGTCTCGACCTCAACCTGCCTCTCCAACCACGCTAATTACGGAATGTCGGGGGGTTAGGGAAGGTAAAAACTATCAATTTTGCGAACAGAGCAACGTAGGTGCCCCAAATTATGAAGGGGAGTCTCGTGAGTTTTCCACTTTTTTATGGTATAAAACTATGTGTGGGCATGGTTCGAGCCATTCAGGTATTTTTATAGTGCCCGCTGATTATTATTATTATTATTTAAAAATTTTTTTTTATATATTCTAACGCATCCCCTCGCGTATACGCATAAACCGGATTGTGTTGAGTTTCGAACTCGTAACCTCTTAGTTAACAAATTAAAGTTTCAATACCATATCAAGGAATCAACTCAATCAAAAGTTTAAATTTGTGGTTGTGGGTCAGGAAAGATTTTTTATATTCTAACACCTTAATAGTTAAAATATACTTTTGTTCTTAAAAACAACAATCAACAAAATACAAAAATGACACTAACAATTTTATGCATTCTTAGCTAACCGTGTATTGTTAGTTATAATTTTTTTTAGACTCTATGAAAATAAAATTTGATTTATAATAAAACAATTTAAGTAACTAAGATTAAGTAAAGTCGTTTTAGAGAAATAAATATAAAAGATATTACTCGGATTAAATATTGCGTAAGAAATATAAATATATAATTAATTGATTAATTTAACGTTTAATAATATCAGTTCGAACTTAGAGCTTGTACAACGGCGTGGAAATCAGCTGCCATGCCATGTCATCAGTATTCTTGGAGCACGAGGTATTCCATGCGCGTTCCACCCCTAGCCTCTCTCCATGGCAGGTGCGAGGCAATTGTTCTCATTTTTTATTTTTATTTTTATTTTTATTTTTTTAATTTTATTTTTAGAAAATAAGAAGCATTTTTGTAATTTCTTAAGAAGAAGACATGTTTTTATTATAAATTACATATATAAAATATTTTTCAATAATTAAAATATATAAAAAATGTATAAAAATGACAAAAACAACCACTTATCATTGCAAAATATGTAAGTCAACTAATTAGTCAGACGTTGATTGAACTAATTTTGATAGGCTAAAAGTTTGTCATTCCATTTCTTGCATTCTTTTAGAAAGGATCACTTCGAAAGGAGGAAAACCAAAGATAGAAATTTGTCGGTTTTGTCCGATCTCTCATTTCTGAAATTGCATTTCAGGCAATTCCCATATAGAGAGCCTATAAAACCGGAAATCCCCCCAAAGCCCACAGCATTATCAGCGATCTAAGATCTATTCATCGCTCTTTCCCTTTGAAGATCTTTGACTCTCATTCTCCCAACCAAGAACATTTTTTCTTCCTCGTCCCCGAGTCCACCCCAGATCTGGTTAGCGGTAAAGATTCAATCTTTTTCCCCATTTCTCACTCTGGGTTCACACATTAACCCGAAATCTCTCTTCCCCATCTTGCAGGAATCGGAGCCCAAACAATGGCGTCGCCGATCAAGAATCCGTCGGATTCAGCCTCTGGGAATGACAACAATGGCGGTTCAGGGGATGCCCAGATTCCATTCAAGATCTTCATAGGGTATGACCCACGGGAGGACACTGCCTTTGAGGTCTGCAGGCATTCCCTCCTGAAGAGATCTTCAATCCCCATTGAAATCCACCCCATCAAGCAATCCGATCTGAGGCAGAAGGGCCTTTACTGGCGTGAGAGAGGGAAATTGGAGAGCACTGAGTTCTCATTCACACGTTTCTTGACCCCACACCTTGCAGGGTACCAAGGGTGGGCCATGTTTGTTGATTGTGATTTCCTCTACTTGGGTGACATTAAAGAATTGAGGGATTTGTGTAATGATGAGAATCTTGCTGTGATGTGTGTCCAACATGATTATGCCCCAAAGGAGACAACCAAAATGGATGGGGCTGTCCAGACAGTGTACCCTAGGAAGAACTGGTCATCCATGGTTCTTTACAACTGTGGGCACCCTAAGAATAAGGTCCTAACACCAGAGGTTGTGAATTCTGAGTCTGGGGCATTTCTCCACAGGTTCATGTGGCTTGAGGATCATGAGATTGGGAGTGTCCCATTTGTGTGGAACTTCCTTGTGGGACACAATAGGGTTGTTGAGGGTAACCCAGACACCTTCCCAAAGGCCATTCACTACACACTTGGAGGGCCTTGGTTTGAAGCTTGGAAGGATTGTGAGTTTGGGGATTTGTGGCTCAAGGAGTTGGATGACTACAAGAAGTCAAAAGCGACGCAAAAGGCCTCGAATTGACCTCAAATCACCGGGGCCCGCTGCGTGATTTTGAGGCCAAATTCGTATGCTGGTTATGCATTTTGGCCTCAAAATCGAGTCTTGGATTTTCGGGTCTCTTTTGTTTGTTTTGCAAGTTTGTTGTTACATTTGTTGTTTCTTTATAGGTATATGGAGCACACAACTTTCTGATTTTTTTACCATAATGGTGCATTGTTCTTCTTACAGGGTTCAATCCCATTTTTAAAGAGCTTGTTAAGGACATAGAGATGTAATGTAGTTGGTCTTGATCATGTGTTTTTTTTTGTATGTAATAAGTCCTAATAACTACTAATATAGTTTGAAGTTATTGTTGTTATTTGGAATTGTCCTTTCCCCTGTTGTAGATAAATTTTGCTCTTTTACTCTTCTTAACATATTCTAATCATTCTTCTTTTCCATTACTCTCCCAGGAATTTTTTTACAGGAAGGGAGAGTGTGTTTTATGTAAAAGCTTTTTCGTATAGGTTGGATTCCACTAGCAAGACAGAACAGTAAGAACACAATGTCATATGTGTTGGTGAGCAAAAATCTTGGGAATGGCAGGATTAGAGCAAAAATGGAATGAATGTAGACATGATGGATGTCAATATTCGTTTAACTTTTGATGTGTCTAAATATTATACTCCGTACTCTGTAATTCATATGGAGTAGGAATTAAGAGCGTAAATGCAAAGAAAACCGGGGGGGGGGGGGGGGATTACATCCCAATGGTCAACTGCGTCTCCCTTATGAATTGAGCCGAGGAGGGAGTTCAACACACTACTTTCATCCCGGATTGTTTGTTTAGTTTTAAATTTTTACAATCAACATGGATAGAGCCTCATACATGACTTGCAAAAAATAGAAAGTTTTACATTGTGATGGATCACAATTTCTTTTAACATCACTATTTGATGTCATACTATGATATCGGACACCTACACTTTTCCGTTGGACTCGAAAATGGTTCTTACTCACGAACTCCCATCCAACCCCGCTCCCCCAATGCCCCTCCTCGATATTTTATTTAATTTGATGACAAAAAATGTTGTATGATTGAAACCACAAAAGGTTAGAGTTCATATAGGGAATTTTAGAGAATTTATATAAATTTAAAATATAAGAGAAATAATATAGATTCTAAAATCTTAAATGAGGTAGTTGGAGAGTTTTGGAATCATGGTTTTATGTAATAGATGAGAGTGACCAGCAACGAGAAATGAACAACGACGGTAGTAGCACGTGGCGAAGGTAGTCAAGAGTTGAGAGAGATATTAAAGCTTAATATTGATTTCTCCCAAATCTAGGGCGGGGGTTTAGGAGAGTAGAAACCATAAATTTTACGAACGAAATACCATAGATATTCCAAAAAGCCAATGGCACCATTGCCAAGTGGTAACAGATATGCCTCTTTAAAGATATCATAACTCATAGCAGGGGTGGAGCCAAGCGGGAGCAAATGACTGCAATTGCTGTCACTCCCAACTTGATTTTTTAATACTATATACCACTATATACTGCTCATGATGGACACCCTAGACTGGGGGTATCCAGCCAAATAAAAACAGTAACAGCTCAATACAAGGTTCATCCAACTGCAGACAATTGGACGCGCTCGGCCAAAAGCACCTTACTCATCTGAGCAAGACTAAGAAGAAAACAAGCCCTCAAGACAGCAACCACACTCGAACACACATCTATACTAAGCCTAGTAGCAAGTACTCAGACCTAGGGGCAGAGTTGGTCATACTCGACCAGACCCGGACAGACATTCACTCGGGTTGTCGTCCAACGATAAAGTCGTGTGCTTGGCCTCTGCTAACAGAGGACCAACGCGCTGTCACATCGTGGCATTGGATTCTATATGCCCTGTCGACTGTATGGGCCTACTCAAGAACGTCTCTGATACTATTTGTTTGTGCATCATTTGTAATTATTTTACTCCGTATTTGTAATTACCTCACATGTATTATTAGCCTAAGATCCGATTCCAGTGAGCTCAAGTCCACTGGGTCCTATCCTAAACAACAACTAGGAAACATAGAATAGAACAAATGTATTGTATAAATATCTCTCCCACTTCGAAAAAGGAAGACATGTCCACTACTTAGTAATATACTTACTCTACCTTTGGCAACCTAAGGCACTTAGCCATTGCTCGACAACTCTCCTACCTCATTTTCTAGGTCCGAGTTCTAAAACCCATCAGCTCCATTTCGAATAAAAAGAAGAGCAAGAAAAGAATAAAAAGATGAAGAAAAAGAAGAAGAAGAAGATGATGAATATTCAGTGTGATGGGCTTCTTCAATTTTACAAATCCTCTTCGACAAACTCTCTAAAAAGCATTTGCCAAGTATTCTTTTTATTTGTTTATTTCTATCAATATATGTTATTGTACACAATGTGTTTGACAAAATGCTTGTGAGACTTATTTTTATTTAAATGTCTCCCGTCTCCAGTAACAGCTAGACACAAATATCTTTATCTATTTTGAACCCACTACTATTGGATCCTCGCTCTGCCACTGACTCATAGTTTTTTGCTCATTAAACATACTCTTTCACTCAAACTCTCTACCAAATGGGTCATATTTGACATCTGTTGGGCCAAGATCTATCAACTCATTTTTCTTTTACACTATGTTTGATTCAAGAAATTTGAGAGAGAAAAGAAAATAAAATGAGAAGGAAAACAATTTTTCTTGTTTGATTAGAGAGAAAAGGAAAAGAAAAAGGAAGGAAAAAAAAAGAAGACAACATGTACTAAGAAGAAGAAAAGCCGAATTCTTCCCATTTTGGTGAAGAAAATGAAGGTAAAACCATTTTCTTTTCTTCCAAATTTCTTGAACCAAATATAGTGTTAAGAGTAGAGTAAATTCTCAAAATGGTACTCAATAACTATGTATTTTCCAAATTAGTTTTTTTGAACTACCAAATTAGTTTTTAAGATGAACTAATCATCGAGATAGTAGTTGTTAATTGAAAATAATACGGGCTTAGTCCCACCAACTAACCACCATCAAAATGGAGTCTAAACGATAATAAAACTTATATTTATTTTTTAAAATAATCATTTTTAATCAATTTTTTTTCAAAATTAGGCAAATTTTTGAAACAAAAATCTCATGAAAAATGATATCTCCACTTTGCTCAAGCATCGTGAATCAATTAAAAGGGAAGAATCTTGTTTGGGTTTTTCGTATTAAATGAGTTTTACATCGAAAATAGATTAATTTGAAAAAACATCTAATTATATATTATCGATTTGGAAAATTAGTACTTCCTCCGTCCCAAAAAGTTTGTCACGTTTCGAAAAATTTGTGTCCCTTAAAGTCCGTCCCATTTCTATTAAAAAACCACTTTTACCCATCACTTTTTCATACCCTACATATCACATCATACCTTTTTCCTAGTAATGTACCTATCACTTCTTACTTTTACCCATCACATCAAGAATATTTTTTTAGAAAGTCAATACAAAATTATCCCTTCTTATTTTACCACTTTAGTGAAAATGTCTCAATCTTTTTGGGACGAAGAGAGTATAAGTTTTAGGAAAATGCTAGGGGTATACCTTGGTGTACCCCAAACATCCCCACCCCCTCCATCACCACAAAAAAAGGCAAGAAAAATTCAAAAAAATAAAATAAAAAATAAAAACAAAATAAAATGAATGTTAGAGAGGGGAGGTGGTGTACATTTGGGTACACATTTGGTGTACCCCTAGCATATCCCTAAGTTTTAATGTGTTTTGACGGTTTTTTGACGACCATTAATTGATATGACTAAACTGGACATTATTTTCAATTAGCGAATAGATCTCCCTAATGAATTCATTTTAGAAAATCGAAAAGAGCCCCAAAAAAATCCTCATCTCCATTCTGAGATTCCTCACCTCAATCGTGTGGTCTGCAAAACTCCATCAAGCCAAAGCTTCAAACCCATCAACATCCATACAAATAAATCTTCTTCCATTTCATTCTTCTGATTCATCTTTTCCGTGATCTCTTCTTCCCCTAATCTCACCTTAATCATGTCCGCCGCCGCCGCCTGTGTTCTTTGGGGAAACGCCTGCAATCTTCTCTCGTCGGAAACCGCCGCCCCCGGAGGCGGGAGGCGGTCGTTCTCCCCCATTCGTCAAGCAGAGAGAAGGTTCTCAGTCAACTGGTTCAATGATAGAAGAAGACGGAGAAGATGGTCAGAGATCAGATCTGGTTCTTCCAATTCAGGTCGCGATTCGGAGGAATCCGGATCTGAGAAGACGAATGCCGTCGGGACGTTACCGGGCCTGAATCGCAGATGGACCGGGTACGTTGAGAAGGACACCGCCGGCCAGAAGAACATATACTCCGTCGAGCCGGATGTCTACGTGGCGGAGAGCGCAATCAGTTCCGGATCCGCCGGCGACTCTGAGGAGGGAGTCGAGAACACGATGGCCATCGTCGCCGGAATCGCTCTCATCTCGATCGCGGCTGCGTCGTCCATTCTACTCCACGTCGGAAAGAACAAACCTCCGGTTGTGGAGTATTCCGGCCCCTCGCTTAGCTACTACATAAATAAATTCAAGTCAGGCGAAAACGTTCGGCCTGCCCCGGCGCCGGCAGGGGAGAGTGCTGAACCGGCTTTGCCAAGGGAAGAAAGCTTCTCCCCGTCGCCGGAAGTTTTTCCGGTGGAGATCCCAGCGGATCAGCTGCCGGAGAGTAGTCTCACATCAAGTTGAAATTTGAAAAATCAATGGATATACTCAGGAGCAAATTAACATTGTTTGTGTATTTCAGTGATAACATTTGTGTGTCAAAAACAAATCTACTCTACTTTGGATTTATATTTGTAATCCTTCTCAAAAAATTTTTACTCCGTTTATTAGTAAAAAAAATCGTTCATCTCATTAGGATAGCAAAACTTTGGTCTAGCAAGGTCATATTTTCTTCACTAATTTTATTGGTACTGATCTAATTAGAATAAATTTTGGTCTGATTTGATCTGAATGTAATTATATTTACAATTATTTCTCATTTGATCTGATTCAATAAGCAATAAAAAAAAAAGCAATAAATATTTCGAACAAAGTCCAAAATAACATTTCTTTTAAAATTATTTTATTTACAAATTGATAGAGAAATAAAAAGTAAAAATTGCACCATTCAAAAATAGATCAAAAATTTACAAAACAAGATACGACAAAATTATTTTATTTTATCAAATCGTCAACCAAAATGAGTAAACAAACAAAAGTTATCGAAATTGTTAAATAGTAAATGTTGCTTGCATTTTGTGACAGATAGAGTACTTAAAGATTGCTCTACGAAATAAGAGAGGTGAACCGGTATTTTATTTTAACGAATAACCAATGAAAAATATGTAAGAAAATACAATAGAAAATAGGTAAGCTAGCTCCGTACAAAAAATGAGATGCACTCCAACCCTCCATAGAGTTTCTGCAATTGATGAAAGAATATACGGAGTATACTATTACTGGTACCTTAACAAATGGCAACAGGGTTCCTGTCCTCGTCGACTTCAACGAGAAGCGTGTGGCCACCCTCGGGACCCGCACCGCTGGGTCCCGCCGAGTAGAGTGTCGGAAGGTATGCATTGTAAGCCGGCATGTAACGCGACACAAATTCTTTCACCTGATCAACCGTCGCAAAAAAAAACAAAACAAAATGAATGGTCTTGGACTAGATACTCTATGTTAATCAAAGGCATCATCATCATCATTGTCATGAAGTTTTTAAAATGACCTCCTTGTCGGACATCCCGGGCTTTCCATCGGCCCTCATCGCCATTTCGGCCTGCAAAATGACATGGCTAGTAAAAAAGGATGAATATACCAAAACACTAGTACTCTTTTAGTGACCTACTCCCTTCGTCCTAATTTATAGTGCCTGTTTCTGTTTCAGTTTACGATGTTTGACAGAAATTATTTTCAAATCATTTTATATGACAAATGGTATAGAGTTAAAAAATAAAAATTACATATTAAAATACTACATCAAAAGATCTACAAAACTAGTAGTGACAATAGTACTTTATTTTATCAAATTGCTAACGAAAATAGAGAGAAAGAAAGTAGATGAAGTTTGACCCTGTGAATAGTGAACAGACATTATAATTTGGGACGGAGGGAGTAATAAATAGGAGCTCGTATTGTCAATCCGACACTGCGACCGGAGTGCTACTGAGGATCACTGCCTTGCTGGAGCTCCACCACCAGTCACCGGCGTTGACCACTGTTGACAGGTGGTCCACTACCACGCTCCACCATCACACTACCATTATTTACACTGCTATATTATCATCACACCGTCATCATTCACACTGCCAAACTCCTATTTAGGTAAGAAAAACAATGCGCTCCTATTTTGGCATTTTGATGGCAATTTACTCCTTTCTAGGGACATTTTTTCAAAATAAAACTAGAGGGTCATTTCTTAACCTACAAAAAGGTGTTCCTATATCATACTCCGTACATTCCAATGTATGGTGCTTATTGTGCATGTGACGTTTACCATTGAACGACTGTGCACTCCACATCTCAGAACTCGTTAACAACGTCTATTCAAACTATCGTTCGGTCTAAGTAAATCCAATTACCCAAAAATAACCAATGACACTAAAATCACCAGCATAGTCCGGATAAACCAACCTGAAGTCGCCAATTATAAACACATCTTGGGTCTTGAATCTTGATGACTACCCATGATTTTACAAACTTGTCCCATGCATCACAGTATGCTTCTAAGTTCTTGTTAACAATCTCCAGCTGTGATATACATGTTAGACCACAAGTATAATAGTATGTGAGCATAGGGAACAAGAAGAAACCTGTGGATCAATAGCTTTGACAATTTCGGACAGAAGGGGTTTGAAACCAAGCATCCAACCTTCAAATAGAACTACCTTCAAATGCAAACCAATGAATATGAAAATCTGCGTTACTTGACCTAGCTTGAAATATTAAAAAAATAATATTTTTTTTCTTTAAAAAAGAAGCACCGTAAGAGGCCCCTCAATCTCTGGCCATGTAGAAGGATCTGCTCTATCTCCTCTACCATTATAAGCGGACTGGAAGTAAGATGACAGAATTAGAAAATGAAAGACATAGCACCCGTTTGGCAAGTGTTGTTTGCAGAATCTTTTTTTTTATATAAAAAAAGGTAAAGCATGCCAAATGGATCTTATGAAAAATGGTAGCTATGCATATTTTGATATGAAAGTCTATTACAGAGTATTATAATTTCCCGCCAAAACTAGCAACCAAGCGAAGCCATAAATCCACAATACTAAAGGCCTGTTTGGTGAGCACAAGTACTCACCAAACTTCTTGTTTTTGTAGAATAATTTTATGTAGTATATAAATATATAACTTTTATTTTTAAATTTTACACTTATAACCAAATCAATTGAAAGAGTATATTGTTACAAACCAGACATATTTTGCAACATAGGGAGTAATGCTTACTTTATCATACCGAGGGAGCTTCATCTTCTGACCTGGATAGCATGGACAAGTTAGTGTGCAATGGCCCTGTTTGGCAACAGTTGTTTGTATACTTGATTGTGTTCTTTCAGTAAAGAGTGGTTGGTAAGGTGAGATGCTTGTATCTATGGTTGACTTGAGTCCTTAAAATGGTATCAAAATCTCGTTGAGTTAAAGGTCGTAGGTCCTAAATACCGTGCAAGGCTCAAGCAAAAAGACATCGCAT